CCTGGACCCCCAACCCCCCCCCCCCCCCCCCCCCCTCTTTCGCTCCTCGACCGACGGCTGGACGCACAGACCAAATCCATCCAGGACAAATGGTGGGATTGGGGCTGCACAACACCGACACCTGATGGCTGATGGCGACGGCACTGTGTGCATGGAGGACGAAGTGCGGACGACTCGGGGACTGAAGGAGATCGCTGGCATTGAAGCGGGTTGGCGGATGCATGGGACAAGGGTTTGGGGCCTTTGCCACGCTTGAACACCATTGTGTTCTTGTCTGGTTTGATGTTAATTTCGCCTGGACATTCCAAGGTGCCTGGACATGGACCACAGGGTTCAAGGGCTTGATGGCCTTGACCCGGCCACGACCTGGGCTTGCAGTCGGCTTGCAGCCATGATTGACACGGCGTGTAAATGGCGCCTTTGGCTCCCCAACTCCCCATGACGGAGGCGGATAGAGGCAGATGGAGGCGGATGGCCGGGGCATGGACCTGTGCATCTGGCACCAACCCATGCCTCATCCCGGTTTCTCCCATCGAAAGTTGCTTCCACACCTCATCGTTCGTCATCCACCCGCCGGAAAGCCCAATGCGGGATCGCCCTTGGTTCAAGGTGTTTAATACCAAGACCAAGAGACAAAAGTGACTAGTGACTAGCGACTAGCAACTGGCCGTCGACTTAGTTAAACACCATCATACTCCGTGCCAAACTTCAGGACCCATAATAGCCTAGGCGATCCATTTACCTGCTGCTCTAGTTTCCGCTGCTCCTTACTTATACTCTTCTTGTCCACTTTTTACGCAGTTCTGCGTGTTGGGCGTAAAAACAATATTTGTTCCCCCTTATTCCCATGTTCTTTCTGGCATCTCGGACGTACCTTTTCTGGTTTAGACCCTCTTTGCAGTTTAGTTCAATCTAGCAAACTTCGGGTTTTTCTAGTTGCCCGCTAAACACTGGCCAAGGTGCGAGAGGAGGCAATACTTGAGTATCCACCAAGGAAAGGAGTCGAGGAGTCGACAATACCTTCAGAACATAAACGCCAACAACAGCAGCAAGGCCTCTTTTCTACTGCGGCCCCCATCTCTGTATTCTCAGAATGCGACCTTCACCGGGAACCCGGCCTTAACTCCGCATCTTTCTCCTATTTCTGGTCAGCAATTTTGTATCTCGTTGGCCATGGATAGCCTCGCCGGCTACCTCCAGGTTCCTCCGGACCGGAGCCAGATCTTGGGCAGGCAATCATGGAAGGTGAGCAGCACAACAATCATGCTCGAGTCTCTGTTTGATTTGATTCCGTTTAGTTTGGGAGCAGCATCAGCATCCTTTTATTCTTTTCCCTCCTCGTCACTCCAATTAATCATGCCTTTATATAGACAAGATATGTTGCGGTTGGGTCTCGCCAATCCACCAGCAGAGACCGGCAAGGCAGCTACGGCTTCACGCAAAATGGCAGCATAGGCCGCGTCAGCACCGTCATTTCAAAATCCGTGCACAAGAATGCCGTCGACAAATTGTGTATTTTCGTTTACAAGACCAAGGTAGAGCTCAGTGCTCCTCAACAGCTACTGCCACGTCGCAAAGCACCCCACTGACAGCGTTCATGTCTAGGAGGACTGGGAGCCGATCCAGCAATGGCCGCTTAGCTGTGTTTCCGATTGCCAAGTCCAACTTGTCTCCCATCGCAAGCAGGGACCTGTGTTACCAACTCTTGTGGTTACAGTTTCCGACAATCAGCGAAAGAGACGGTCAAGCCGCGCTGCGGGTTTTGTTTCTTCGAATAAAGACGCAGGAGTGACGACGCTGTGGTTTCGCACCCCTCCCGATGACCACCATCCCACTCTTCACGAATGGTGTCAGTTCATCATGTCCAAGAAGGGTTCGTCCAGCACGACAGAGAGCCCTGTGTCCCCAGTTTTCACGTCACCATTCCAAACACGATCCAACGATAATCCGGATTTCTCCCCTCGACCAGGAAGTGGCAGCCGCCGTCTTCAGCACAAAAGCTCTACGGCCACCCATTCCACCGGGCCCTTGGATCGCGTCATCACCTTCAGCTCGGGCTCCCCTAGCCTACGATCGAAACGAAGCGATATTTCATCCCCTTCTAGCAACAACCATCCGTCTCAGAAGGTGCAGTATGCCATTCCTGAACAGCATTATACTACCATTAGGCCCGGCGATATTGTATCGTCGGGCCCAGATGGAGACTATCAGGGTCAGTTCATCGATGGATGGACCTCCGCCCAGGGAAGGTCATCCATGATCAGCTCTCCCTCCCGAGGCAGAGATAGCATGAGCTCACAAGGCCGGCAGCTTTCTATCCTCGATGAAGCGTCTCCTCCATGCCCTGGAGAGACCATTTTGGACAGAGCCTTTCAGCTGGGACACATCCCCGGTGCCGGATCCTATGTTCCCGGTCAGGAAAAGCTCAGCTCCATTGCGAGGTTTGATGCCCTAATGCGTGATGCCGAGGAGAAGCGGCGAAAGCGGGACACTATAACCATGACAAGTGCGTTTGATCATGGCGATACCTCGGATGACAATGGGCTAGACCCTGCCTCAGACGATTCTGACTCTGAGAGCAACGGCCACTCCCAGAAACAGCACCAGAATGAGCAACATGGCGCACCACTCATGTCGCCTTCTGCTCAGCGGGCCTTGGCGTACATCACAGGCCGCCACGATGGCGGTACTCTGAACCCAAAGTCTCATCGCCCGGGCATGTCGAGGAACCATCTCAGTTTTCATGCAGATTCCGCTCGAACATCCACTATTATCGCGCCACCCTCGCGCCCACACACGGCCCACGCCAAGAGCAGGCCCAAAGCCTCTCGAGCACAAACCACACCTCATCCGATACCCACAGCCACAGCAGCACCGGATTTACCCTCGTCCGCGAAGGGCCAGGACAGTGGACACCACCGTTCTAGCACAATGGCAGAAAAGCGACACTCCAACTCGAGTGCCAAAAGGTTGAGTTTCACCGAGTTTGCCAAGAGGTTATCTAGCACCAGCAGCTTACTGCTCGTCCAGACGAACGCGAGCGGAGGGAGCAGCCATGTCAGCAGCGAGGTCGACACCCAGCCGTGCTCGTCCGCACCGCGCACCAACCTTACCCTCCGCGGGACAGGACCTCTTCCACCGCGACCTAGGGACCGCGAGGACCAGGACAGACGGTGCGGATGGCGAAGTAGCGTTGGCATGGTAGGGACCGAAGGAGGCTTTGTATAGAGCGAGGACCCTCTACTCCACGGCCAGGCTACTCTCTCAACGCTACTGCACTGGCACTACAATCACGGCCACATCTGCGCCTGGTGCTCCTGGCCACCAACCACCTTCTACATAATTCAATCCTTCGCAATTCTGCAGCGCGTGTACGAAACTTTGGATGCCAAAACTGCATCAAAATAGCATTCCCATATCATCACGACCCCTCATGACGGCACTCGATTCACGTCCATTCCATTAACGACAAGGCATTCATCCCTTTGCACAAAGGGCAACGCGTTTAAGCGCCTGGCATATTTATATATCCCCCCCTATTCCCGGAACTTTATACAAAGCGGAAATAGCCACAACACTTGCCACTCATCCGTCTCCTTCACCCGACATCTGCGCATCTGCGCACCGGCGTATTTTGGTGGCTGGGCGGCGGCCTAATGATTTAGCGAGATTTACGATACCATGTGCATTCATCCTGGGCCTTTATTTTTTCAGTTCTTATACATATTGTCATGTGTGACGGGAGAAGAAAGAAGCGTGTATTTTACTTCCGCCAATGGTACTCGTGCCACGCCCCACTATTTTAGGGGTCTCGTTTCACTCACCACCTAAAGGTGTAGTAGATATGAAGACCACACACTACGTTCTTCTCATTTTCATGCGGAACCAGTTTTGTCAACTGGGACTGTTAGCTTGACGTCAGTGTCGCTTACTCGTACTTCCCGCACTGTGATTCTTCCGGGGTCTTAATAGCCCCTGCTATTGCACGAGGATTACGCATATGTCGTGAACTACACCGTCATTTCCGAAATGTGGGACATGGAATTGCGTAGTGGGCATAAGTGGGATGGTTGTATGATTCCAGCACCTAATAATATATACGCCGACTTGGCCATGTTTGATTATATTGCTCAATTCTACGGCATCCTTTTCCAGTCATCTCATGACCCAACTGTGCCTACCTACCTAGGTATGTACCGAGCAGCTCTTTCTGGTAATTGCCACCTCCACTTATCCCACGCGGTGAACATAAACCTGTTTTATCAGCTCACCCGCTCAATGCTCAATGTTCAATGCTCAAATACCCGGGCTCATTTCACGTGACACCTCCGACTAGTCACATCTTGTACTGTTTCATATATATTCCTCTCCGTTGTAATAACCCCATCAAACGCCCCGGGACCACTCAGCGAATATACTGGGCAATGGCCTCCTGCTGTTCTGGGGGAAGCCTCTGGGTGATGAAACCTTCGATAGCCCCACCGTGTCGCTGGTTAGCTTCAGCCATGTACTGCTTGACCCACGTGGTTACGTTTTGAACATCAGGAAAGTCGTCGCGAGCCAGGGGTCGACACGTGTTGAGAGCAGTATATGTCATTCCGAAACCAATATCATCGACTGAACTCTCGGTAATGATCTCATCGCCTTGGCCAGCGGCAACGGCGGGCGGATTTGCGAGCAGGGACAACAGAATACGACAGCTGTTCGCCCAGCCTTTCATAAACTTCTGCCCAAACACCTGCGAGTCGCACAGTGTCTTGGTCAGTGACACGACTGCCGTTTTGCGGTCAACAGGCTTGGCGAGCTTTTCTGTCTCAGCAAGCACAAATGGAGGATACACTTGAGCAAATGCAGCCGCATCCAACTGGTCTGATTGCTTGATGAAGTAGTCCGCACCATAGCCGGCTTCAAGTCTGGCACTGACCAAATGGTAGAAGCGGGCGAAACGGATCTTGAACGAGTCGGCAGGAGATCCCTGCAGCTTGGTGTACAGAAGCTGTAGAATTGTGCCAAAGTATTTGTCCAGCGCAGAGCTATGACGCCGAGTTAGCTAACGTAACTTATAGTGGACTAGAAATTGTTCTTGGGCAACACTTACGGCTCAAAAGAGTTGACAATGGCATCCAAGATGTCAAAAGCCTGGACTTCAGACTTCTTGAATGCAAGCAGTTTTTGAAAAATGCCAAGAACAGCTTCCAGCTGATTGTTCTGAATAATCAAGCTTGATGCCTTGGGAATGACAGCAGATAACAGACGAACGCAAGCAGGAACGTTGCCACGGGTCTCCCACAAAGGCGCAGCCAGAAGAGGGCCCAGAAGATTCTTGAAGTTCTCAGAAACAGCGCCTGCGGGACTTGACTCGAGAAGCTGGGCCAGAATTTGGAAAATGTAAGGAATGAACTCGGTAACATCTTCAGTGAGGATCAGATTAAATGGCTCCCACAGCTTCTGATTGAAAACCGCAGTATTGGTTCCAGAGCAGTATCGTACCAATGCACCCATAGCCTCGAAGTGGTAATAGTAGAATCTGGGGTTGCTAGGGTTGTGCTTCATGACGTTGGTGATGAGAATAAGGTGGGTCAAGACGTTATCTAGCATTGGCGCGGCACCATCCTTGATGACAATGAGAATTCTCATCACGCAGCGCATCAAGAACTCGTTTTCTTGCAACTTGGCGGCATTGGTCTCGCGCTCAATCAGCTTGAACAAGTGGTTGAGGAGGTCTTTTGCAAAGGGCTCAATGTCGGTTCGGGGGAACATTTGATTGCCGACATCATCGGCCAGGAATAAGACACGTTCAACGGCAATTGCAGCGTATGTGTAGACAACGTAGTTGGACGAGTTCATGTTTTGGATCAACGGCGGTAAAGCGAGCTTCCACTGTTCCTTGGACAGTTGACTGCGGAATGTGTAGAGGTATTTAATAGCATCAACTTTGGAGATGGGCTCCACCCCCTCGCTCGCCATGAGATCTGCCGCAATATGCTGTTCAAAGAACTCGACAACATTGACAAGTGGGTTCACAGTCTTGACCCCCTGTGCGGCGGTGACAGCTCCCTTGGCAGCAATAGACAAGAACAGATAGACGGCCGTGTCCTTGGCCTTCCAGTCTGTCTTGCCCTGGTCAAGATAGTGGGTGATATACTTGGACACCGCGGTTGTGACGGGAGTCTCAAATTTTTCTTGCAGTTTTCGCAAGAAATCCGTGGAAGACCGGCGTCTTGAGTCTGTATCTGAACCCTCTAGATCTCGTCGAATAAACTCGATGGGTTCGTCTTCAAACATTTCAACGTCTGATTCCCTCAGGGCAACATTAGGCAAGATGACTTTTTCAACAATCTGAGACAAAACATTCTCATTATTAAAAACGGCGGCGTGCTCAGCTGTACCAGCGACCGCGGTCAAGAAGTGCAAGCTCTTGCTCACGAGGTTGTCATACTTGGTTTGAGGCCCAACTGTCGATAGTAGATTCCACGCGCTCGTAATAAAAGGTGAGCAGTATTTTGAGAAGTCCTCGTCATACTTGATAGTATAAAGCTCCAGCAACTCGCAAATCCCTGCCTTGACTGTGTCGACAATGCTCGCCTCATCGTCATCATCCGTCTCGAGCAGTGGGTTGTTGTAGGTCAGGTATTTGTGGAGAAGCTCAGAGATACTCGCAAGGTTCTCTTCGAAAATCGGGGGAAGATCGTGCGAGGACATATCATGCAGGATCTTGATTTGCATGTCGAGGGTCTCGAACCACCCCCTGAGGGCATCTTTGTCGTTGGCATGCGCGGCGATTTTGCTGTCAGTAGTCTAGGTGATGTGTCAGCATCCCACGACGCAGAGACTGTGCTACTCCAACAACTTACCACCAGCAACTGAACAAAAGGCTGGCCGAACGTGGTGATAACGTGGTTGATTTCGATGTACAACTCGTTGGATCGATTCAGAGGGCGCCATCGGTTAAAAATCGAATGAGCGACTTCGAGGACGCCGACATTGACCTTGGGGTCCGTGGTAGAAAACCGACTAACCAGTTCCTAATCATTCAGCTCAGAAAAAGCTCCCGGAATATGGTGACATGGACAGATCGTACTTGGGTAAGCGTGTCCCACCGCCTCCAAAAGTCGGAGTCTGCAATGACGCTGATTGCTTCGCCAAGCTGCTTCTGAACATTTGGCGGGCTCGAAATCATCAAACCAATCAGGCGCTCCTTTATTATCTGGACCTCATCCTGTGAAATTTTGTAGTTGCCTTCCTCATCCTAGAAACGTGTACAGCCTTAGTATTTCGATCGAGCGTCGAGGTGGGGGGAGCCGGTACGGGCACGCACCACGTAGTTGGAACGAATGAAGTTCTTGAAGGCCAAGGAAGCAGCGAGTCGGGTATTGGAGGGAAGAGAGTCGGAATTGACAATGTTCAGCAAGGTGAGCGAGTATTGGGGCTTGGCGGCCTCTTGCTTGAGAGCATTCTCGGCTGTAGATGCGTTTTGTTTATTAGAACTGAGGAGCGGGGCAACAGCAAAGCAGAGGAAAAAGTCAGGACGGAGGAATCTGCCGTACCTTTACGGTGCTGGGAAGGATCAAGGGTTGCATTCAGCAGCTGAGAGATTTGACCAATGTCGGCCGCCATGGTGAGACCTCGTGGAAGAGAGCTGCACTGTGGTTGTGACGTTCGGAGATATAGAGAGGCAGTGGTGTTTGGTGGAAGTCAAGAGATGTGATGTGGAGGACTTTTTTGGCGTCGCGCAGCTGTTCGCCTTTCCATGGCGACGGGTTGGCCAGGGTCAACCACGGGTTGCGTGTGGGGAGCTCGGATCAGATCAACGATACGGAGTAGACCTGAACGAAGCTGTGCCGGCCGTGCCATTTTCAACTAGAAACCCGTGGATAGGGAGACGAATTCCATATCTTCCCTCGTATATGCTTTTGATGACTTTTTATTTCCGAGGTTGTATAACAGGCTCGTCCCGCAACTGTTTTACTTAGCGTCTTGCAGATCTTGGTGGCTCTGTCAAGATCAAGCCCACAACACCAACTCCCTAGTTATATGATAGCATAAATAACGATTAGAGCACAGTTGACATGTTGGCCACGACATCAAACATTCGTCGGGCTACGAAATTATCAAGCTGTCAGTGAACTTGGAACAGGAACCAAAGCTTGTCGGACCCTCCACAAAAAGCACATCTCGGCGCTAAACCCCCGAATGGGAAAGGTCGGGTGCGAAGCAATACTTGACTGCTCGCTCCCTACCCTATGGTTCAATCTTCTTGAGGTCAGAAAGACATTATGGGATGCTCTGTATGTCGTCAGAAATGCCCATAACTAATCCGCTAAAACAAGCTTTGGGCAACATTCAAGTCATCGTGCTTGGTGAAAAGTGGCACAGCAGTGGCTGTAGACTCGAGACTCTTGAGTCCTGCGACGAATTTGACAGGTTCTGAACGAACTCGACCAGACATTTTTACAACGCGGAGCTGTCTAAAGCCACCGTCGTCAGCCTGTCGAGTGTCAGCTGAACATACGGTCCACCGGTGCATGCGTGTCAACTACTAGTACCAGCCAGTTGACCTGTATCCACGGGGTCTAGCGGATTTCAAGCTCAGTATTGAATGAAACCTTGAGACCAGAGAGATGGCCTGGCTGGTATTATCAAACGTCATTGGGCGGTGCGATTGCCCAGCCGCCCAGCCCTCTACCAGGCTACCTTAGCTTAGATACCCAGCCCCCAGCCCCAGCTAGGTGCTCTGGCTGCAGATGAGGTCAGCGGGCGCAGAATCTTCACTGAGCTTCAATGCAGTAACCGTCAAGGTGGGGCTCTCCCCATCCTCCCTTCCTGAGCAAGCCACATTGACTGCATGTACTGTTCCTGCCAAGCCGTACGGCTTCTGCTCACAATCGCAGGTACTAGTAACTCCGTACTCCCTGTTAAGTGCCAACCCTGACTCCCGAGTGCGTCGCTTCGTAGTGGGTAAAGGGTAGAGGATCCAAAAAGCAACTGCATCGCATCATCACCACTTCCGGACTCATCGACATTTCCTGCCCGAACCCTGTCCAGTTTCGCCTAAATCCTCGCCAATGTTTGTCTTGGCAAGGTTGATTCTGTATTCGACTTGAAACCGGTTTTTGGTCAGCCTCGAAGCATATCTTGTCGAGTTTCGTCTTCCTCGTCCCCGTCCCCGACCTCAGCTTGGCGCAGTTCCTATCCACGGCTCGTTCTTCGTCCTATACTGCTTTCCTCGGTTCTTGGTGCGGCTCGCGGCTCCCTACGCCGTGTATAACTGCCGCCTCGGGCTTGAATGCAGTTTTATGCCAAAAGATCGTCTGGACTGACCTCCAGGTATGTAATATACGCCCATCCACGATGGCCTCTGCCCTTACCGGCAATGTTGAGTTTTTCGCCCGAGCTTGCTGAAGCGTGGAGCTATCGCAAGGTGGTTGTCCGCCTGCCACGAAGAGCGAAAAGCTGGACCTGATTTGCCTGGTTGTTGTGCCTGACTTGCTAACTTGTGACACAGTCCCAACATTTCCTCCACCTCTCCTCTCGGCAGACGAGCACATGTCCCCGCAGCCAGAAGATGATCCTACTTCTCCAGATTCGACTCGCCCCGGCGGCCTGGCTACAGTCCTTCGTAGCTTAACAAATTCCAAGGCGATCAAAGCCCCGCCTCCTCCTTCGAACCCGTCGGCTGCCTTACCTCGAGCCGAGCTCATCAATGCCATCCCAACAAACTCCCATGGGCTGTCCACCAACCATATGGATGCATTTGAGCAGCTTAAAAACGGCAGCCCCAGCGAGAGAATCTCTGCCGCGAATACCTTAAAGTACGCCATCACTGAATATCCACTCAACCCGATTCTGGATATCTGGTATGCCGCAAAGGACCTCATCGATCCAAACAACCCACCCTCGACGAGAGCTGCTGGCTGGGAGTTATTGACGGAATGCGCGAAACATGCATCTTCGACCGATTTGGAGCGGAAAGAGTACTTTCAGACTCTGTCCGCATCTGCCAACCCCGAAGACTTCCATCTGCAACTAGCAGCTCTAGTCGACCTGACAAGCCATGGTCGTGTGCTGGATGGTTTCGACTACGATTTATTACCTCTTCTGACGATTTGGCTGCAAAACGCATACAATGCAGCCCGCATCGCCAGGAAAAACTCTCATTCTGGCCGCGGTGCCGGCGGCTCTTCCAGGGGCAAGACTGCAGCGTTAGGCGAAGACAAGAACTTTGCGCAGCTGTTTTTGTTTCTCCTGGATGTCATCAAGTTCAGCTTCAACACGGCTGACGAGCCGGCCGTTACCGATCTAATTGACACCATACTCACAATCTGCATGAATACAAGCCAGGAGGATGACTTGCGCTCCTGTATCAATGTTCTAGATGCAATTGTGACCTTTGGCTCTATCCCACAGAGCAAACTGAAGGACTGCGTTCAAGTTCTCAGCTCAATCTACTGCTTGGTTCCCAACTTGCAAAAGAACTCGTGGCACACAATTGCTAATCTGTGCAAGTCACACAATGGCCAAGCCACGGTTCGAATTATGCTTGACATACTCAGAAATTTGCAACCTGGCATTAATGAAAAAGACTCGAGTAGAGAAATTCGGGGGAGTTTGGCAGTACTCCAGAAGCTGCTGTCGAAGACGACTGAAAAGGGCTATCCACCGGTTCCGTATGCACTACTCGTTGATGGACTGTCGAATACGCTCAAGGCCACAAAATCTTTACGAGTCTACGCTGCGGCCTTGCAACTGATTAATTCCCTGTTCGACGACGGACTCGGCAGCATCCACCGTCTCATCGTGGACGAAGATTGGTCGACTTCTCTTGACGTTGCGGCTGAGTGTTACCGACGTGTTCATGAAGGCACTGACGGACCACAAGGCATTCAGGCCAATGACGAATCTCTGGAAGCTGTGGTTGACCGCGAGCTCCTGAAGCTCGTCCGACGTCTAGACACTGTCATCAAGGAGAAATCTCGCGACTTTGTACCCCGACAAACCATTGTTAAATTTTTTACCGACGTTCACAATCTACTCCCGGATGAAACAGCCAAGACTGTTCTGGATTACTTTCAAGAATTTCGGTGCTGCTCTCCATCTGATTTGAGATGGGAAGAAAACCTGAATCTGGTGTTGAAAGCCTTCTTCAGTAACCGCAGTCGAAGCTCCGACACACGACTTAGGGCCCTCCAGGCCATGATGGACGCGTACGAGATTGTCAACCTTGTCGGTGATGGCGCAGAGCAGAACTTCATTCCGAGGATGGCCAAGAGCATACTGCAAAACATTGCTGAAGAAGGTGACGTTTTGGTTCTCGATGCCGTCATGTCACTAATGGTTTCCGTTGTTGTGTCATGTGACATGGAGCTTTTTGACTTTGTGATTGATGCTTTGAGAGCCATAGTCGTAGGCGATAGGCTCAAGTCTCCCATATCACCTTCTGTCCTGTCAGCTACAATTTCTCCAACAATGATAGACGCACCTACGCCCGGTCTCAGACAGTCACAGTCTCCTTCACATGTTGTTACAAGAGGTTACGTCAGAATGTTTCTGCGACTCATGAATTCACATAGCTGCAAGAGTGTGAAGTTGTACAATGCCCTGGTTGGCATTGCTAAAACGAATCACTGCGAAACTGACGCCAGGCTAACGGCGATGAAGCTTTTGTTTCGACTGCGCGCCGATTGGGCCAACAGAGTCTTTGTCACGGACGACCTTGACAATATTTCTCTGGCAACTGCCATGTACCGCACAGACGCCTCATTTGCCAAGAAGCAGGCTGAAGAAGCAGCTCAGTCTCTTCGTTTGTCAAGAAGCGATCATGGTAATCAGTCCCGGTCGTCGCGAGGGGTGTCTCTAAGTCAGTCTCAGCATCAAGAGAGAGGTCATCCAGTACGAACACCAAGCGGGGCCAAGAACATTACTGCGAGATACCAACAGCTTTGGAGATGCCCAGATCCGCAGGCCCTGCCAGAACAAATCCCTAATCTCATCAGTCCCGTGCTCGTGTCTCATTCGACAGCGACTGAATCCAGCGACGAGAGCGAAGATGCAGATGAAGCTGCATCGAATGTACTGCAGCAGCGCAAACCATCAGTGCTTAATATGACAAACTGGCTTGATGCCGTGCTAGATATACTACAAGGTAGTGAATGGGAGATCTACAGCTTCGCCCTCGTCCATCTGCCGTCACAACTCAGCAATCATGCCATATTCAGAGATGCAATTCCACAGATTCAAGAATTACGTCGAATAATTTGCGATCAAATCCGAACGAATGGCTTCCAGGAACCTCCGTTCGCATCTGGTCTGCGACGGGCTGATGTTGCTATATGTCTATTCCACAGCCTGACAATGATCCTAAGCTACCACGAACACTTTGGCAAGGGTGACGAGGATGAAATTGTAAAGACATTCATTCTCGGTATCGGCACCTGGGAACGTACCGCAAAATACTGCATTCACGCCTTGTCGATATGCTGTCACGAGCTTCCACTTTCTACTAGCAAATCCCTTGTTCAAATGCTCAATCAAATGGCGGCAAGCATCACGCAGCCTAACGTGTCAGTTCATATTCTGGAGTTTCTCGCCTGTCTGAGTCGGCTACACAATGTATACGTCAACTTTAGAGAAGATGAGTACAGAATTGTATTCGCAATCTGCTTCCGTTACCTGGAGTATGCAAGGGACAAACGACAATTACATCGCGGCAGCCACAACGGTGAACCTAATGCAGCTGGCATGTCTGGTGTTGCTACTGGAGAGCCCACGCAGACTGGTCCTCCCTCCGAGGAGCTTCCTCAATATGTCCATGCTTTGGCGTACCATGTGATTTTATTCTGGTTCCTGGCTCTCAAACTTCAGGACCGCGCCACGCATGTCTCGTGGATTGTCAAGAAGCTGTTTTCTGATCCTGACAGCACTGGACAGAATGCCGACGAGCAAGCTCTTACCTCGATCGACTTCATGCAGAGGGTCACGTATGCCGATGTGGACGAGTCTTGCGAAGATCCATACTTTACTGAGGATCGGTTCGGACCCATTGTGAAGAAGCAATGGATCATTGGAAACAGTATTGTGACAGTGAAACAGGCGACAGTATCGGGGTGGGCGCAAATCATCAAGCGACAGCCTTCTGGGACGTCGGCGTATACGATCCGCGAAACCTACGCAGCGCCACCACCACACCAGGTCGAGAACCAAGTCGACGTGAGCCGAGAAGGCCAGCCAACCAGCAATTCTATTCTCCCCAGTCATGTACTGGTTCAACTCATGTCACCTGTGCCCCAGAGCTTTGAGTCCGCACGACCTATTCCGTTGCCGGATGACGATGCCGTTGACCGTGCAATCAGGGTATTCAACCGAAGCTCCAGCGTGGACAGTCATAAGGTTGGCGTTATATACATTGGGGAGGGGCAGGAGAACGAGGCCGATATTCTTGCCAATGTTTCTGGCAGCAGTGACTACACCGAGTTCCTGAACAATCTTGGAACGCTGACAAAGCTGAAAGGTGCAACCTTTAACACGCAGGGATTGGATCGAGAATACGACTCAGATGGCCAATACACGTTTTGCTGGCGTGACAGGGTGACGGAGATTGTTTTCCACGTCACGACTCAAATGCCTACAAACCTAGAGCGCGACCCACAGTGCACTCTTAAGAAGCGACATATTGGCAACGACTTTGTCAACATAATTTTCAACGACTCAGGCAAACCTTTCATGTTTGATACGTTCCCGAGCCAATTTAATTATGTTAACATTGTGATAACGCCTGCATCTCGGGCGTCTTTTATCGCAACACGGACGACGGATAGGCCTGGGGCTACGTCTGGACAACCATTCTACAGGGTCCAGGTTCTGAGCAAGCCTGGCTTCCCAGAAATATCGCCGGCATCGGAGACGAAGATGGTATCTTTGAATGCGCTGCCTGGTTTCATCCGCCTTCTTGCTCTGAATGCCTCGGTGTTCTCCCATGTCTGGAACGCTAGAGAGGGTGGCGAGCACATCAGTTCTTGGAGTGGTCGGCTCAGGGAGATTAAGCGTCTCCGAGAGAGATATGGACCAAAGACTACGACAAACTTGGTCCCATCGCCGCCGCCGACCTCGTCCTCACAGAATCAACCTTCTGAGTCCTCGCGCTCAAGCAGTAGCGTGCGGGATAGCTTCAGCAGCTTGCGTCGCACCAGCGTGGCCACTTTCTTCACCAGCACCAGCGAACAGACGTCCCACCGGTCCTCGACGCTCTCGACGGCCCCTACACACGACACTGAAGTGGGGAATGCAAATGGAGTAAACCCGCTAGTAGAGTCTGTCGACTTTTCGAAATGGGCTTAAAGGACATTTGTCTTTTGAACGTTGAACCATGTCAGAGGCGAATGATCTATGTATGATGAACTGTTTTCATGGTCTTTTTCTTTTAGAGGCGTCAATCATAGGGATGGGGGTCACATTTCGAATCAAAAGTTTTTTTCCGACATTTGTAATTCGGCTGAAGGTTGATGTTTTTCTTATTTTTGGCATACCCCATTTCAGTATAGTTATTCCCCGGCTTTAACAAGGGAAGCGAATGAAAAGACAGAGGACCGTCGAACAGGGACGAGGTAGAAGGGCTGTAGGGACATACCGAAAGCTGCTCTAAATTATAGGCATTCTATATCATTGTAATTTTGACCGACATGGCTGTTCTCACGATTGTGGTGTCCTTGCTGAGCAGCACTTTATTTGACTCGGTGCTTTCAAATATCCTGGAGTCCGTTCCTCAGGCCCCACTCGCCCCACACGCCACCGTTAAATCACAGCACGGTCCCGGCAGCAACACGCGCTGAGAACATCCAATCACTCAACGCGTCTAAATTTCATCGGAATATTGACCCAACTAGTCTCACGTCAACTCACGACGAAGTAAATTATTTTAGCTCTTCAAGGAAGCGGGAAAGTTGAGTCGGCTTCTGCGGCGGCTATGTCCCACCATTTTTGGGCCGGAGCATCCTGTCGGTGACGTTACAATGGCGGACGACAGCATTGATAACCTTGTTGAAGACATGGTCAACGGTAAGCCATTTCACAATATCCCCCACTCCGACATATATTCTTGATCCGAAGCTCACCAAGCACCAGCTTCAAAACTCCCCGCCAAAGCTCGTGCCATAAACATCAAATCCACTGTCGCGTCCTTCTCTACTCTTGCGTATGAAGAAGGCATTGTCCCTGCGGTCCTCGACCGGCTGATCGACCTAGTTACCATTCCTAATTATCTCGATCAAGCCAGTTTAGCATCCGTGGTTCGGAACCTGTACCCAGCTGAGCGGGTGTCCCCCAATGTTGTGCTCCATGTGGTATCGGCACTAGGACATGGCGCGCTCAAGGCACCGCTGAGCCTGCAGGCTGCGCTGCTGAAATGGCTGGTGATGGTGTATCATGTGCTGGAGACGCCAGCTGTTTTGGCGCAAGCGTATTCGGTTTTGTTTAATTTGCTTGATACTGCTGCTATTCGGTGCGTATACTCGGCTTCACGACGCTCCAGACTGCAGGGTGGACAACTGGCTTTGCTGACTTTCCTTGCTTTCTTTCAAGGCCGCAGCTGGCGCATTTATTAGCGTTGATTACGAGGAGGAAGCATGTAAGACCATTCAGGATTCAAGCTTTGTGAGTGATTGCGGCATGGACGTGGGCGGAGACGTGGTTACTAACTTGACCAAGGTTGAATTTATCGAGACAGACTGGCAATGACCCGCCATTGGTGGGCTTGTTGAGGGTGTTTAAGGACTATTATCCCGAAATTATTGTGGGTGAGGCTGTTCGAGGCAAAGCCTCTGCCTTCAAGGTAGGTTTTCTTTTTTTGGATGGACAAGGGGATGTGCGCGTGTGTGCTGATGAACACAGCACCCCGATCTCTTGTGGCGCTCCAGGCTGGCTGAGATTCAAGACGCCCACCGTCAACGCGCTGCGGAACAGAGACCGACGGGGCCTCAGAGCGGATTCAGGGTCAACAGACCTGTCAATCGGGCCCAGAGGAACAAGGCCGTGCCCATTGTGCTGACATCTCACGCGACAGAGGTCAGAGAACGCCCTGGTCAACCGCGCTGCGGAACGAGCTGTTGCTGACATGAAGCCAGGATTCCGTCACTCTCGAAGAAGTGGAAGATGTTTCCAGCTTTGTCGCAAAAATGGACAAGTTGGAGCTTCCGAATCAACTTGTTGCCGTACTGGCTGATCCCCTTTTACAAAAGCTACTTATTTTGAGGCCAAATCCTGAATCTTATCAGCGAATATCGAACTGGCTCAGCGCAGTATTCCAAGAAGTAATGGCGGGAGACGCGGATGAAGCAACGTTGTGGGAGGTGCTCGAGGTGGTGAGGGAGTTTGTGGTACAGACCAAGACGATTCCGCCTCTGCTTCTGAGCTTCTTCAGTCAGTTTTTCAACATTTGGGGGGGCGAGGGGAAGCGAGATGTTTTATTTGACATTCTTGGCTTTACGCCATTGCACGACTTTGGAGGTATGTATCTGCACAATTTGATTTGGATGTTAGGCGAATACGACTGACATTGCGTAGAACTACACCGACTCATATTCCAGCCTCTCGAGGCAGCTGTACAATATTTTGCTCCTAATTCTCAACAAGGCCTTTTGCAAATGTACACGAATCTGCTCAGACACTGGACGGCCATCTTGCAAGCAAGCGACACCATCCCCGATCACGCCAGCGCGACAATCGCCTCGCTCATCCTGCACACAAACACGCTCGCTCTCACGCTTTTACAAACGTCACCATCCGTCACAACCGACGCCTCCATCCTCGACTTTTACGAGCAAACCACACGTGTGATCACCGACTCGAAGCTCAAGCGCTACATGCGCATTGAGCTGCCCCCTTCCCCGCTAATATACACCTTCCTCTTCAACAACTCGCTCGCCACCGTGTCCCGAATCTGCTTTATCCTGGCCTGCTACAAAAGGGGCATCGAAACAGCCGTGGCCACCCGGCCCCGAGCTCCAGCCGCGGATGCCGCGCCCCGGATCGACTCGCACACCTACGACCGGCCCTTTGTCAACCTCTTCAACGGCTACATCATGGACATATGTAACTTGTTCTGGAGGAACCGCGCCTTCAACGACACCGACACCAACGCGCAGGCGTGCACTCTGTCTGCCGCCACGGTCAACGCCCTCGCGGCGTATGCCGTGTCCGTCGACCGCGCGCTGCCTCTCACCTCGCTCTTTTCGCTCTCCCACTCGCCCGTGCTGTGTTACCAGAGCATAGAACGTGTCCGGGACCTGGAGGACGACGCGATGGAGCATGATAGCGAGATTAGGGTGCGGCACGGCGGGCCAGTGACGCAGAGCACCCTGACGAGGCTGGCGAATGCAGGCGGAATGAAGCTGAGCTGGCAGGACTACCGGATCGAGGTCCTGAAGAGCCTGGCGGACAGTGGGTTCCCTGGCATCCCGGAGCTGTTGAAGAATGCCATGACGGTGCTTAAGAGGTCCATTGATGGTGGGTTGAGCATTCAGGGGACGCCGATACAGCCGTAGTTTTTATGTCATTTTATTCTTATTACATTGACGACGAGGACACGACGTGGGCACGACATGGACATGACAGCAAAGGGTGTTTGGGTTCATGTAGGATATGTAAAAATGATGTATTTGTGTGTCCCTAGTTGAGGGGACGTGATGTAGATCCCGGGTTGACAAGATGGGTATCGGTGTATGGCATGTACGAAAAAAAAAAAAAAAAAACCAAAAAAAAAAAAAAAAAAGCAAAGAGGACGCCGATACAGCCGTAGTTTTTATGTCATTTTATTCTTATTACATTGACGACGAGGACACGACGTGGGCACGACATGGACATGACAGCAAAGGGTGTTTGGGTTCATGTAGGATATGTAAAAATGATGTATTTGTGTGTCCCTAGTTGAGGGGACGTGATGTAGATCCCGGGTTGACAAGATGGGTATCGGTGTATGGCATGTACGAAAAAAAAAAAAAAAAAACCAAGAAAAAGACATCTGCATGCCCTGCAACCGGCAAGTTGAGTCGTGCCGCATTTCTGGAAAAACCCCCCAATTCCAAACGCCGCTCACCGTTGAAAATGCGTGAGGCCATGTTAAACCAAGCTGATGTCTATGCGCCGATACAATGCAGTTGAGTGCCGCCGGTCCTCCGTGGTACGCTCCCCTCAGTATTCTTGATTTCAAAACCGTGTTAAAACAGCGCTAATGGAATGCAAATTGATGCGATAGTGAGGGTACGCATCCGGCCTCTGGTTGAGGAGGCTCTCGATTTTTCTCTTCACCCTCTTATATATATATATATATATATATGCGACAGGCGCCCCATACGCCTCGGTCTGCTTGGACTCGTCGCCGTAGCCGGCGACTTTGACGCCGCCAAAGCCGTACGTCTTGCCCTCGGAGCCGAGACGGAGCTGGCTCCGCGGGCCCCTGGCGCGGAGGTCGTCCTTGAGCCAGGCCAGCACCAGCTCGCCCAGGCGGCTGTTTCCCGAGCGGCCGACGGCGCCGTCGATGCTCTGCAGCAGGCGGTCGGCCTCGTCCCACTCCTTGACGGCGCCCAGGTGCATGTGGACCAGGTGCGTGGGCCAGCCGGCCAGGTTGTCGAGGATGTGGGTGGCGTAGACAATGGTGCACTCGCGCGACTCCGTCTCGCGCTTGAGCCAGGCCAGGAAGTCGGCGCGGCTGAGGACGTCGAGGTCGACGGTGATCTCGTCGAGGAAGAGCACGGTCCAGGGCCGCAGGAGGCCCATGGCCAGCTGGACGCGGCGGCGCTCGCCGTCGGACACGGCGTGCATGCGCCAGGCGGTGTCGATGTCGAGCATGGCGACGAGCTCGTCGCGGCGCGAGGGGAAGGCGTCGCCGCCGACGGAGCGCAGCAGCTCGGGGACGCCAATGTCGTTGCGCACAATGGGGTTGAGCACCCACTCGAGGCCGAGGTAGGTGACGCCCTCGAGGGACTCCTTGAAGGGGTCGACGCCGCAGATGGTGATGGCGTTGGAGGGCGCGAGCCGCTTGCCGGCGAGGAGGCGGAGGAGCGTCGTCTTGCCCGCGCCGTTGGCCCCGATGAGGAGCGTGCGCGACCGGGGCGGCAGGTCGAGCGTGATGTTGCGCACGCCCGTCGAGTAGTCGGGGAATGTGTACGAGAGGCTGTTGACCTGGATGCGGGGTGGGCTGGGCATTTTGGCGGCGGGAGGGCGGGATGACGGGAGGACGGGGGGACGGTGTGGTCGTGAGGAAACCAAGTGCTGGTGTGGTGGTGGTGGAGGAGAGGCGGCGGTCTGGTGGTGTTTCGCTACGTAATTGATATGGGCGCAGCCGTCCTGGCCTGGGGTCGAAACCCCCAGCCGTCTTTTTTTCCTCATGTACCAACTACTCCCGGATCATGATGCGGGTTTTGCAACGAGGTGACACCCCGTCGGCCACATTCGGTACCGGCTAGGCATTGAATAACTTGTAAAACAGGTAAAATACGTGGAACCACGCAAACGCCAGAGGGTACACCAACGGGTGCACGTCATACTTGGCTCTGGCCAGGACCCAGCCCGGCATGCTTCCCCTCGGAGCACAGGGGGTGTAGAAGCTTGCGATTCTCATCTTGTCCGTCATCTCCTGCGCTTTCCTGGCGCGCTTGAACATGTCCTCCTCGAACTCGGCAACACAGCCATCCAGGGCGTCCGGCCCGCCCTCCCTTGATGCGCGTATAATGGCGCGGGCGAGCGTCCTCGCATCCTGCAGCGCCAAGTTGACGCCCTCGCCGGCGCAATGAAGCATCAGGTGCGCCGCATCCCCAACCAGCGTCACCCCCTCCCTGTGCTGCCACCTCGTGCCCACGGGCAGCATGTACAGCGACCGTGCCTGGCAGGCGGCCGTGGCCTTGTCCACCGCGCCGCGCAGCGTGCCATGCCAGCCCTCCATGTCGTCGAGGATAGCCCGCCGAGCGGCCTCGCCGCCGCTCACGACACGCGGGCTCGCCTCCCTCCAGTCCTCGCGGCGGACCGTCCAAAAGCTGACCGTGATGGCGCCGTCTCCGAGCTGCTGCAGGCCAAGCTCCTTGCCCTCGTCCAGCGCGAATACCGTGCCCCTGTCCACCAGCTTGTGCACCTCGGGCGCCGTGGCCTCGGCGTCGGGGATCTTGAGCTGATGCCCGCCCACGCCCGAGTATACCGGCGTGATGGACGTGACTGCTGGCCGGACCCTGCTCCATGCCGCGTCGGCGCCCACGACGAGGTGGAATCCCGAGACGCGGGAGCCTGGGAACACGAGCGTGTCCCCGTCGACCCGTTCGAGCCGATGGCCCCAGCGGATCGTGCCCTGCGGAAGCGACTGGTACAGGACGCGGCGGAGGTGGACGCGGTCGATCTCCGGCTTGGACATGACGGCGCGAGGCGAGGCGAGGCTGAACCACGCCTTTGCATTCCGGTCCACGACGGCGAGCGCCTGGCTGTCGTACCTTGCCCACTGGACGAACTGCTCCCACAGGCCGGCGTCTCGGATCGCCGCGAGCCCCGTCTTGGAGTGAAGATCGAACGATCCGCCCTGGGATCGGTCATCCGGCGCGGGTTCGGCCTCGAAAATGGTCACGGACACGTCGGCCTGGTGAAGCAGCCGCCCTAGCATGCATCCTTTCCCAGCTGTCAGCGGGTCAAGATTTGATGCGGCGGGATTACTTGGCTTACCTACTGGGCCGGCGCCGACAATGGCAATCTTGAACGCCATGAGTGTTGGTTTTGCTCCGTCGTCACTACTTGTGCAAAGAAAGAAAAGAAGCAAGGAAGGGTGCCATGGTGAACAGCCTCTTTTCGAGGTCAGGGGACACGTCTTGTGCAAAAAGCTTGTTGGTTGCAAGACCTACATGGAGAGTTTGATGCTGACGGCGCCATTCGCTGAATCGGTCCAGTCGCAGAGCCATCCGTTCTTCAGCCCTCGTGTTGAATGCGGTGTTGGGGAATGGCAGATTCTGACAATGCGTGCTTTTTGATTCGTGGATCTAGACGGGTAGAAGAAAAAATAGAGTGCGGATGACTGTATGTCTGATGCTCCTGAATATGATTATATCCAATGTTGAGAGAGAGTGGACATGATACCTAGTGCATTCGTATGGTAGGGTTAGGGTTATCATGAGAGTTCCTTGAAACCCTCCATAACGGGACATCCCGCGGTTCCCTCATTCCCTCCCCACACGCTGCCTGCTGCACTGATTTGATAAACACGATGGAGGACCAAAGGCATTGTTACATGTACTCACCCATGATGCTGCGGTGTGTAAGTAGACCACCTGGGGTGCCTGGGGCCGACGGTCCTCTTTTTCTGTCTTTTCACTCGCTAATTTTTTTTCCCTTTCTTCTTCTTTGAACCATGGCACACTGCGGCACGATCCTTTGCATTAGCAGATGATGCTTCATGCGACTGACGTGCCTGGTGTTGTGCGGTCTACTCCTCCCCCCACCATAATCTTGCGGCCAAGAACCATTAATAAGCCAGCACAGTATTCACCCATCTGCGGCTTGGGTGGGATGTCCGCAGGGATGGCATCAGATAGAATAAGCATGAAGTTGTGGATGAAGCGCGTACTCTAGGCTCCAGACGCATTTAAACCCCGCTTGTATTCGAACTAGTAAGCGCTATGGGATAAACACACCGGCCCGAGATGGCATGAAGATCTACAAATGCAAGTCTGGTCATGCTTGTCTTTGCTTGTGTTGAATTCGCCGTCTGATTGGCCCGCGGGTCATGGGCCGCCGACAAGACGGAGAGGCCAAACAGCAGCATGGCATTGTGATCCGTGAATAACCCCCATTGATGGCTTGCGGTTTGAACAGTCGGTAGAAAATCTCTCTCCATCTTTATCTTTATGCCTTGTGCGTCGGGCTGACTGACTGCTGTCTCAACCTGCCGGCCGAATCGACCCACAGGCGAAATTACTCGCTGGGCTCTCCTTTTCTTGGGACTCTGTTTTTCTTGCTACTTTAGCGTTTAGATGGCTCGTGTGGTCGCCTAGCTCTTTGTCAATATACCGAGCTTGGACCGTTGCACCTTGGACGCCTAGCGTTGTATATAGTTTTTGATTTTCGAGTCCGTCTGTTAACGAGTCATGGACCAATTAGGCCAGTCCAGCGTTCAAGCTTCAACTATTTTCCCCGGCCTCAGTCCAACGGCCTGCATTCCAGAAATATTGGACAAGTAAAGAAGCTAGCTAGTACTCCGTAGTGTGACATGAAATATGGTCTTGGGGAAACTAATTGCCTCGTCGATGGGCTAGCTGAGAAGCCAGCGTCAAGGACCTTGGTTGTGGATGGAGCGCCGAACTACAACGCTTCAGGGCTACCGCAACAATATGATGCAGTAGAACGCACTGACTAAGTACTATATTGAAATTGAACTAATCTCGTCAAGATTTCACAACAACCGGACCGTATTTCGACTTGATACTTGCGTAGAGACATGTCTACTGAAATATCTGTCATAGATAGAGGCCACGCCTGTTTATTTTAATAATGATTTACGGGATTTTGGACAAGTGTTACAGCTGCATTGTTACTTTCGAACGCGCGCCCACGAAGCTTGGGGCTTAAAGCAAGAGAGATTGCCAGCCGCGGATAGTACCGCATTTGCTCATAGCGGTATCAAGATGAATTTTAGTGACACACTAGCATTCTAGACGTGGTCGATTTAGTACCTGTATTTGATCCTGGTAGTAACATGGTCGAGCCTCGCGCCGGGACTTTGTCGAGGAGGAGGCAGCGACGGCTTGCATACCAACCGCGGTGGCTACTGCGCCTTCCTACCGCCTACCAGAGAACAACAAAAGCACAACTGACAGCTAGATAGTTGCGCAAGGTGACGACTTGGGTATTTTTTTTCCGAAGCCGGGTCGAACTGGAGTGTATCATAAGCAAGCCCAGCCAAGTCGACGCTTGAGTCTGGTATTATTTGAAAAGCCGAGTGGACCTGGAGGGTTGCGACCCACAGGAATCGAGAGGTTAGATGACTTGTTTTAAGGGTAAACTCTGTTCCAAGGTCTGCGGCTAGATGAGACCAGGACGTTTCACCTGGTGGAATCTGGGGGCTTCTTGGCGATGGCTTCAACCTGTCTTTGTTGCTTACCGCTGCCGCATCCTTCTAGAAACGTTGGGCGATTCGACGGGCTGACAACCGTTCAAGGAGTCAAGGACCGTGGTTGAAGGCCACTTGCTTATTAGCCTTGTGTCTGGCGGCTGCGGCTGTAGCTGTGGCTGTGGCTCTTGGCCAATTTATGCCGCATTCTATTACTATCGCAATAGAGAGCGGTACATGTCCATCCCCGGATGGCAGATGTTATGCCGTCCCCGATATCGCCAGGGTTGCTGTCGCCATCACAACATTCTCGAAGCATACACGTGTCCACCCAGACTACCAGCATCCGAACTGCATCTGCCACGGCCAGGGGATGGAAGAAGGTTTTATACCTGCTTTCCACAGTGCATGCCGCCCGTGTTCCGGGAACGGGGTTGCCATGTCGAGTTTGTGAGAGAGTGTCGGCTGTTTCACATCTGCTTCCAGTGGCGTTCAAAATGAAACGACAGTGCCAGTACGGACCCAAGGATCACTGATGCGACAGCCGTGACGATAGCCTTGGAGGAGGTGGAGCCGAGCAATCTGGACGATGAGCCTTTTTAAAGCTGAAGCCCGCCCCCCATATCTTGGCTTAAGCATCAAACCCACAAACGGTGGTGTCCAACCATCTCAGACGCTCCTTTTTATCAGTCTTTTCCAACTACCATGTAAAACTATTGTAATACCGTGTAATCTGTCTTTCCGGAAACAACCAGCCAACGGAGCTGGTTCTCCCCCCCCTCTCTCTCCTGTTTTTTTTTTTTCTTTTTTTTTTTTTGCCGAAATGGCCAACAAGATGCCTCCGGGCACTATCCGATTGACGGGTATGTACGATTCTAGATAAATATCGAAAAAAGCTCACAAGGACACTACAGATCCGGACAACAAGATTATCCTGCACCCAAAGCCGACAGATGACCACGATGATCCCCTGGTGTGTGCTGTTCCCACGCCGCAACGCGGCCCCGAGTTGCTCAAACTAACATGCAGAACCAGAACTGGTCGACCCGTCGCAAAACTCTGCACTTTGGAATCGTCATCTGGTACACCTCTGCGACATTTCTTCTCACTGAAGAAGCACACATCACCTACGCGGGTCTCCGGGCCGATCTTGGCGTGAGCGGTGACGAAATCGCCCTCGAGCGATCTCTCAGCTTCGTCGGCCTCGGCCTGGCTGGCATCCTACTTATTCCCCTGGCGTACCGCTACGGCCGACGCCCAATGTATCTCACGAGCACCCTGACACAAGCTTTTGCGGCCTTGTGGATCGCAAGCGTGCGCACCAAGCCCGAATTCTTCGTAAGCAGCGTCGTCACCGGCGCCGCCGCGTCTGTCAGCCAAACCCTCGTGCCCATGACCGTCGCCGACTTGTTCTTCGTGCACCAGTTCGCCACCATGAACGGCCTGTTCCTGTTCGCCCAGGGCTCCGGCACTTTCCTGGGACCCGTCGTGGCGGGCTTCATCGTCGACGCGCAGGGGTGGCGATGGGCGTTCCGGTGGACGGCCGCCGTCCTCGCCTTCACCTTTGTCCTGATGCTCTTCTTTCTGGAGGAGTCGACCTTTGTCCCCTCCCCGCCCGGCAAGGACATTGAGCTCAGCGACGAAGAGGTCTTCTTCAACAGGCCCGTCTCCTGGGCCTCGGAACACGGGGACCTCGTCGACATCAACCGGACCATGACGATGCCCGCCACGACTGTCGTCGGGCTCCCGGCGCCCCCCAAGACGTGGAAACAGAGGTTCGCTCTCATCACCAGGACCAAGAGACCCATCAAGGAGCGCTTCACCTCCCCGTTTGTCATTCTCGTCAGCTTCCCTGCCGTCGCGTACGCGGCCATCACCTACGGCTCCGTCATGGCCTGGCTGCTGGTCCATCAGCACGTCTCTGCGCTCAAGATGCCGGACGCGCCGTACAACTTGGACTCGTTCGACATGGGGCTGCTTGGGCTGGCCCCCTTTGTCGGGCATACCCTTGGCAGCGTCGTCGTCGCAGCCTTGAGCGATCGCTGGATGGTCCACCTGGCGCGTAAGAACGGCGGAATATACCATCCCGAGATGCGTTTGTGGCTCGCCATCCCCAGGGCTATATTGACATGTGCCGGGATTCTGATCTTTGGCATTGCCGTTGCCAAGGTGAGGGCCAACCGAACCCCGTCTTCTCCTCTTTGCGAGTTTTGCGAGTTTTTTTTTCTTTTTTACAATACATGCTGACAATTACTGTTTCTTCTAGGTAGCTCCTTTGTTTCTTATTGGATTTAGTTCCGCTGTATTCGGACTTGGCTTTAGTATTTCCCTGGACGTGGCTCTGGCGTACATTACCGACTGCTACCACAACGTATGTAGATGCAAGACTGCAGCGAGTTGGTGCCGAGAATGCTGACAAGGGTGGTGTAGATGATTGGCGATGCCCTCGTTGGAATCGTCTTTATTCGGAACCTGATTGCCGTCGTGATTGGCGTTGCAATGATCCCGTCGATCCGCAACATGGGCGTCCTGAATGCCTTTATTATAGTCACTGCCATGGCCGCAGTGGTGTTTCTGATTCCGGTCCCGATGATGATTTGGGGCAAGAAGGCTAGAGCTGCGACGGCTGCCAAGTACGAGCACTACTCGCTGGCTGCGATCCCGCCGGCCTCGCTGAAGAAGATATTGGACGAGCTATCATAGACCACCGGAAGTGGTTTATGGCAAGACGTGGCTGGTGTGAATTAATGTCTTTGTTTCACGGTGGTGAATCGGATACTCTGATCTGTTCAATTAAAACTGTACTACTAGAATCTACAAGAATGAGCAAGATAATGTGTAGAATTACAAGAACCGACGGAATAGTCTTCAAAAAAGAAATGGCCATGTTCGTGCGAGACGAAAAGGGTGTGTTGGCCATTGTACCTGGCCATGAAGCGGCATTGACCGACCACGCCATGGACCTTGTGACAAACGAGGAATGAAGGCTGTAGCTAGTCCTCTGTTTTTTTGAGCCATCGGTTACCATGACAAATGTCTGGCAGAAGCATGGATCTTATCAGTGGCTGTGAAATCTGATATAAATGACAGGGCTCGCTTGGAATATAGAAGAAGAACAAGGAATTCCGAAGAAGACAAAAAGAAACAACGATGCGTCTCATAACATGACGAATAGCTGATCTTTGACCCTAGCGACTTCTCAGTGCTAGTGAGAGTTCGTCAGTCCAAGGATACGACATTTCACCGCCATTAGCAAACCTTGGAAAGAAATTGATGTCTCAAAAACCTTTGAACCTTCACGACTTTAAAGAGCGCCATCACGCGACAAGATGCCTAGGTTTTCCACGGTATTATAAGTTACTGACTGGTAATAAACAGTCCTCGTATGGGCTCTGTGCGACATTTCTAGTTCCTGATTCTGACTCTTATTCGAACCATTTGTGGTACTTGTCCGGGAATCTCTTCGGGGGGGCTATGATACCGGATGTAGAAGACGCAACTGGCTTGGACGTTGCACCGACCGCAGTCCACGGGCACCGTCATCTTACATCACCGCCCGGCACCGGGGCAATTGTCATGCGGCAGTTCTTCCAGGTACACGCGAATGCACCCCGGAGCTAGCGGTCCCCAGCATGGCGGATCTGTAGCAGATGCCACACGTGTGACGCTTGTTGTACCTTGCGCGCTGCAGCTTAACAAAGTTGCAGCCGGGGTAGACTAGCAATTTGATGGCACGGGTGCTAGTGCTTTGTGCCAAGGGGTCTGCGAGGGCTTGGAGTCAATAGCTCGATTCATCTAATAATAACAGTCTTTGATATCAAAGGTCCTTGTTTTCCTCAAGGCGTCTAGGGACCGAAGGTCTCTATAAATACAAGAAGTGGGTGAGGGCCTTCTGCTCCATGTCCCGTCATCGTAGCCCTCTTGTAACCGTGTGACAGCTTGTTAAACGGCGTGTAAAACGACAATCTCAGTCATGACAGAACTGGCTTGTAGACATGAAGCTATGGATTTTGGGGCCTTCAAGGCTCCATTTCACTGTCACCGAGACAAGATGGTGAACGTGTCTAGCTCGGTTTACGGCTGCGCAATCGGAGCGGAGCAAGGAGTGGCATCCAGACACGAGGCACATGGCTGAACGAGTGCCAAAGCCAAGTTCTCTGGTGGTTCCGTCTGGAGCTCCCGTAGTCGATAGTAAGAAGTAAAGTGGCGCATGGCCGCGATAGGGAAGACGAGTGTCTCACCGTATCGTTGAAGCAGATGATGTAGCCGATAGAAGTGGCATCGGCTGGCTTGGGCGAGCACTTTACAGGGCCAAGCGCAATGCGGTTTTTCATGGTTGATACCCTGCTGAGTTGTTGCCATAGGGCCACTGATAATCTCAAGCTCAGTATTCTGGTGCACGTTGGTAAGAGGTATACGCATTCGAAAAGTATGTTACAAATTGATCGGGGGATATGGAGGACGGGTGGCGCATATAATGGCCCGGACACAATTCGCAGCGGACGCTGTACAGGATCTTCTCAACGGCATTCATGTCGCAATATTCGTGTCTAGTAGTTGGAGTGGTAAACCTGCATGAGCCAAATTATTCGGGCCATCATCATGCTCGGACTTGAGTCGAGCTAGCAAGCTGCGCGCAATACTTGGTCAAGTCGCCCGTGATATGGCTCATCTGTTATTCTCGACAGTTGACGTCCAATCAACAGTAATCCCCAAATCGGGCCACAGAATGTGAAAAGAAAAAGTCTGGTGGAGTGAAAGAATGCAGGGTCTATATAGAAGCCTTGATCCCTACTCGCTCTGCAGCAGCGCCTCAAATTATACCCTTCCTTCATCTCCAAGATGTGGCAATCAACATAGACGCAAATAGATGCTCCGCCATCGGTGGTGCATGTATTGTAAATATAAATTTTGGAATCCGGCTTGATGCCTCATCCATGGGTCGCTAGCCGGGCCTTGTCCTCAGCGCAAGACTGCCCTTCAAACCGACCGCACAAGACGAGCAACGGCTGTTGTGTAAGTCTTCGGTCACAGATCTGCAGTGGGCCCTTTCCGGCTGTTCCTGGTAGGAAGCACAATGGCTGACGGAAGACCTCGTACAGGCTGACGACATGAAAGACTTCCCCAAGGCCCATAATCGTATTCGGCCGTGACGGGAGGACGGTAAATGAGCTGTGAAACGCGACTCATGCAAAACCATGGCTGGTAAAGGAGATAAGCTGAATACGGCTGAAAAGGTGAACCTCGTTGTGTCGTTGTTGCTAAATAGAGGCGGACTTGGACATGCGACAGTTACGTTTGGAGCAAAGAAGCCGTGAAGAGCTCACCATGTCCTCATTTGTTCTTGATAAAAGGGTTCTGCTGACATGTTAGAAATCTGTTGCCAATTGTCGTCATGGCCGGGAAATACTGCAAGGATACTCATACACTTATCGCCGTGTCAATCCTTAACCTTTTCGCCCCTTCGGTCGGTGCAGTGTAGATGTAGTAGATCTTGCCCCGGCGATTTCCTAGATCTTGTAAATGCCGGGGAACGGTTCGTGTCTAAATTTGCCCTTTTGCCTCGACAAATCCTAGCATGGTGGCGAGGAGACTGCATACACACGATTAGCTTTGGGGGCAAATTCCTTCCACGGAACAAATGCGTGGAGATGCCTGCCCCTGCTCGTGTCTCCCACGGGACCAAACTCTTGCTCATGGTTCTACTCGCAATCCTCGCTGGTCTTCAAGATCAAGTCTTCGAGGATGAAACATGGTAGATAGGCTCCGAACCGGCACCCACATCTAGCCGCTTTGTCAATGCACAACGGGCCGGTAGAAGGGCGGTATGAGAGAGATTTATTTTTTGCAACTTTGGTCTTTCGGATGTGATAACCCGACTTGTCATTTGTGCACGCAGTTGTTACCGGAGAGTTGGTGGCACTGGATCGAAAGGGTCAGGCGTAGCTGTGACTGTATCGCCGCAAACTTGGCCATATGAGTGGAAAGACGTCTGGTTCGGAGTGCTCTGGTAAGATGTCGGTGGCTGTGCCCAAGACATATCGGCAACTCTAGTATCCTTGAAAATTTGGATGTCCTCCTCAGTATGCGTTTGCCGTCTGATAGACCCTTGGTTTGGATTGCGTTGGGGGCATAAGCAGGAAAAATGTTTGATAATTCGATGCATGAGGTCCGGACAGCCTTCATTCCTGTATGCCCCGTGACCCTGCTATCACGTCTTCCGTAGCATTATCGACGGTTGCGCAAGCGGCCCGAGACTGGATAGAGAAGCGAGGTAAGGCAGGTGGTGGCGGCGACCGGGGTTTTCTGGAATATGACCTTGCTGGGTCAACCTTGTATGCATGATAAGTCCGCAATTATACGTTCACTTCTACATGAAGGGAGTGTGCTTTGTAGCGCCAACACGCTCGCAGACCCTGAAGCGGCCTGTCCTCATCCCGGCAACAAATTCCCAGTAGGGTTTGTCGGTGAAGAGATGCACAGTATCCAAGTATTTCTCCATGCTATATCTGAATTTATGCTGTCAATGGCTCTAGCTAGAGCTGTTGAATCTGAATTCATCTCGGAACACGGCGTCCCGCAATGTCCTTCGGAGAGCCAGAACTAACGGGCAAGTCCGAAGATTCTGAAAGGTTTGACATAATCTAACACACGAACCGACAAGATACCCCACAGCCAGAGCGTTAGGAAACAAAGTCTGACTTTGGGAGCGCCTCATGGCTGGCATATCCGCGCATAGCAACCACGCTCGAGAGGAACATTGACAACAAGAGATGATCAGGTGTTCAAGACGAGGTCGAACTGTCTGACTGCGTAACAACCCAACCTGGAATTTCAGGGCACACATCGTTAATCCTTGTTTGGAGAAGTTCCATTCAAATCTAGCTGGAAGAATCATTCGCTAGGGCTCGTGGCGAGATGAAGAATGAGAATGTTCTTGAGTGCCTCGACAAATGTCCAGTGTGTTCCTTGGGTGGGGGAATTTCGCATCTTTACACCGATTAATTAGAGGGTTGTGAGATCTGTGAATAAGGAGGGATGACCGAAAGACCGAATCCATTTTTACTCCGGAAAGGAAGAAGCTCTAGTAACGGATGGTGGTACCAAGGGTGCTTAATCATTACTCGGAATTGCCTAGTGACGCAGTATATTTCTGAAGAAAGCCGCGTTGGCGTGGCCTATCGTGTGCTCTCCTTTGCCACCAGTCGTAATGAATCACGGTTGCCACAGATTAGACTGACAAGCGGCATGATCAGCAGCTACGTGACAAGAAAAAGTCCGATCTGTTGTCAGGGCCACAGACATATTCTCGGCACTAACAAACCCTGTTACTCACGAGGAGTAATCAAGCGTCTTGAACAGCTAGAAATCGGGAGTCATGCAGACTACCTTGGCTGCTTGTAAGCAAGTCTTGGCCGCCCAGTTGTTTCTAATCCAGCGATACTCAAATCTCCTCATAGGTGGCTACTTTCACTGGGGTCTAATTATAGACAATAACGCATCACCCAATCTTTGACCGCCGTTTCCTGGAAACTCGGTTCCTCACACATCTCCAGGATAGGAGGTCTCGTACGGTGCTCTCGGATCAAGAGAGTTAGCCAAAGGACTCTACTACCATTGAAGTGGGCGCCACTGCCCTCTCTTCAAAGAGTAAGCGCAAGTTTCTTGGGTATAACGGTCCAGCCTATGAGAAGTTTTCTTTCATTAGCCCGTTTCGAATATTTTTGCATGTCAACTCTACCGCTGCAGGTCGTGCTTACGGGAGTCATTCTGTCCAGCCACATTGGGTCGAGTCGCCAGCGGAGACGTGTTACAAGAGTGTACAGAGTTGCTTTCAACTGCAAGATGGCGTACTGCTCTCCTAGACACGCGCGCTGTCCACCGTGGAAGGAGATGAATTCTGCAGACGCCCTTCGCCGCCTGTACTCCTTCTGTATATCCCGCCTCGAGCATCCCCACCGACTTGGCCGAAAGTCATTTGCATCTTGTCCCCAGGCATCAGGGTCTCGGTTCGTGGAATAGCAGTTGTAGCCAACATATGTGCCTTGCGGGATGAAAATCGCGTCTCCCAGTCGCACTGCCGAGGACACTCGCCGGTTGATTAGCTGCCCAATCGGTGGGAACAACCGCAGGCTCTCATATATGGTGGAAGTCAGTAATGGAAGGCTGTGTAAATATTCTGCATCAACTGGTTTTTCACGCTGCAAGCTAAGCTCATCAAATAAGTGGTCCTGTATGTCCTGTGTAGAAGACCGTCGTCGTCAGCACCACGCACTTTTATGTGCAAGCTCATCTCGGCTCACCTGGTGCTTGGCTAGCAAATACATTGTCGATAGGATGGCCAACTGGGGATTTTCCTGACCAGCCATAAACAAGATGGTGGTGTTGTCACGGAATTGCTTTTCTGTCAGTTCTCCAGAGACTCGAGCTGAGAGGAGTGATGTGCACAGCTTGTTCTGAATATCAGCCGTCTTGTCCCCTTTGACTCCGTCCTCCAGCGTCACGACTAGTCGGTCCGTGAAGTGCGATGCGAGCTTTCTCGCTCTTTTCCTGCTAGGAAATGGTAGACGGTCAAGGAATGGAAAGTTCATAAAGACAGGACTAAAGATTTCCTTGCTGATCTGGGCCTGGATTCGATGCAAGCAGGCTTCGCTTGAGCGCGGCGTCTTCAACACAATTCTTCATTAGCCAACGCCTCTCCAATTCTGGATACGGTCCCAAATTATTTTCATTTACCTACATTCAGATTGACGTTGAAGTAAGTGTTTCCAAAATTTGCAATGGTGTGCCTCTGGATGCTCGCCTGTATGCCTTGCTCTGTTGCCAGAGCCTGCGACTCGACGAGAATGTTACTCAACAGTCTAGCATTGCTAAGCAGCACTTCCAAGTTGGGACTGACTTGCAAAGTAGGTTTGATAACCCGCTTATACTTTTTCCAGGTTTCTCCGCGGCTCGATATGATGTTATCTCCGAGCAATGCTGCCAGGACACTATGAGGAATCTTCTTGTGGTTTCCGCTTTTCTGATATATGTCCTCGCGTCTGAAAACTTCGGCTATATATTCTGGTTTGTGAATTAACACGTTCCATTGTCCTGCAAAAAATATCTTGACCGCGCCCTGTTTGCGGAGTGGTTTCTCAATGTACTTGTTGAAAATCTCTTGCTGGTCAACGTCCTTTACCAGGGGCATCAGTGCCACCCAGAAAGGTATCGTGGGTATTCCGTGAACGCCTTTCAGAGGCGATGAAAAGTAATAAAAGAGGACACCGAGAACAGTTATTGCCAATATTATTACACCACCTAGCAGGAGGGAGGCAGCCATGGCGCAACACAGATTGAAACAAGGATTCACAGCAGCACGCCAATGCTCCAAAAAAATTAAGATGTTGAGAAAAAAACTTGCCCAACTTTGGTCATTGCCAAGAGCAAGAATTGCATTGTCACGTTCGTGCAACGCTGTCTGGGCTTGGCAAGAGCGAACGCAAAGCCTGATATAGACATTTGGTGGATATTGAATCTAAGCGAGCCCGACCAGACTTATGAGGCATTCGTTACCTGCTGTAGCGAATCAAATGGAAGAGAATTAAAAAAAAAAAATAAACACTCTGTCGTGCTACTCTAGCTTCGATTTTTGGTTAAAAAAAGGCCGGTGAGTTTAATTTTCGTGCGCTAGAGTGCGCGTCATGACGTCTTTGACGAAATCAAACACGCAGCAACGCTGTCTCACCATGCTACGCAAGCGTTGAGATCGCGAGATCCTAGGGCACTAGGCTCACAGCTGATTTATGTTAATAAGGCCTCTTGTTGCCAAAGGCGTCGACGAGAATCAAGCACATTTGATACCAAGGACTATTGTTAGACGAATTGCGTTGTTACTGGAAGCCCTCGTCACAGTGCGCTAGACTTTCGGCTCGTGACGTCTTTGACGAAATCAAACACGCAGCAACGCTGTCTCACCATGCTACGCAAGCGTTGAGATCGCGAGATCCTAGGGCACTAGGCTCACAGCTGATTTATGTTAATAAGGCCTCTTGTTGCCAAAGGCGTCGACGAGAATCAAGCACATTTGATACCAAGGACTATTGTTAGACGAATTGCGTTGTTACTGGAAGCCCTCGTCACAGTGCGCTAGACTTTCGGCTCGTGACGTCTTTGACGAAATCAAACACGCAGTAATGCGCACCAAAACGTAATGAATCACGCGTCGGCCAACCTAGTATTCGTAGGTGTTATACAGTCTTGACTCCTCATCCCGTGATTCATCCATTGACTCCATACCCAATAATGTGGGAATGCCAGTCCAGTCAGTCTTCACAAAGGCAAGAATTGGCCATATTTACCGCAACTTCCGACACAGCTCTCTCCACGGCAATCCATACGGTGACTAGCAACCTTCGTTTTGCTCAATAAAAGGCTTCCACCACAGTGTGGACAAACTTCATATCTGCAGTGTCGGGTCTGCCATGCTGGATCCGCGGTGCTGCTCTCGCACAGTTCACCCACGGCTTCACTCATTTTCTCGTTATCGGCAAATAAAATACCCCAAGAACTATAGCATCCATCATAATGATACGACAAGTGCTCCAGCAGCTTCAATACCTAGAAAAGCCCCAAGAATCCTTCAAATCCACAGAGCTGGATCCGGCGATGCCCAAGCCCTACGCGAACGACCCTTATCAATTATAAAAGGAGTATCAATTGCGTCGTTGGATGAACTAGGTCAAGAACTAATTGTATTGGACAATTCTATCCATGGCTGCCATTCATGACACTTGTGCTGCCCGGGGCACACGACATATCTACAGCCCCGTTGGTGAAATGGCTTTGTTCCAGTCCAGATGGTCGATCTATAGCAGGTTCATTGCAGGCTTTGTGCGCCAGCCATCTGGCGATCTCATTCACTGTTTCGGACCCTCTCCAACTCGAATAACTCCAGTATGGCCTCAGATTCGGAACCACGTCTTGCGGGAGTGCCACCTGCACAACCGCCTGTCGAAGACCTGCCTACCGATCAAGTACGCTCTTGAGACCGCTGAAAGCCTCCAACTTGCACCTCCCTCTAATGACTACGTGGTTTTTGAAATGCCAAAGCTCGCGGATCAGCAAGTAATCGGGCTTGTGCTCGCTCCCGACTCGTCTCCGGCAACTCCGCACTCTCTTGAGCTCGACATGTTGTTTGCCGATTTGGTGCTCAGCGGCCTGCGCGTGGATATAAAAAACTATGGAAGGATTCTACGAGAAGCCGATTCTGAGATGGCCACCGACTCTATCGTGGATCTTTTTGATGCCAACCTGCGGTATGTTGCCAAACACGACAAATGGCTCCAACGAGGACGAGAGGTGTTCAGGCAACAAGTTAGGTCATTTACATCCAGAGGAGCAATGGTTGAATTCTGTCTCCCTGCGTTTCCCTGCAAATCATCCAGCACGGACAAAGTGTTGTCCCAGTCTCCAGATCGTGGGGAATATGTAGCCTTGTCCAATTTGCAAAGATTCATGCAAAAGGTCGAGGATATCTACAAACCGGGGGCCAAGCTCTGGATCATCAGTGACGGACACGTTTTCAGCGACTGTAGTGAGTAGAGACCTGATAGAATTGCCAGACAGCCGACATACTGACGTTTGATAGTTGGCGTTGACGATGGGGTTGTCGACCAGTACGGAGTGGAACTCCGAGCAATGAACAAAACTATTGCACATCGCCTCGGTGGCAAGGACAGAATTGGCTTCAGATCTCTGCCTGAATTGTTTGACTACGACGGCCTAGTTAGTCCGAGTCAACTGCCTCTTGTCAAGGATCATCTGCCGGTCAAACCTCATCTGATTGCTACCAAAACGACCGTGAAGGCCGAGTTGTGCCGCCAGATTCTTAATGTGGGATTCCGGCCCGGTAACAAGGAGCCAATAGAAGGTCTTATTGCAAATGATCCGGCACTACTGGCTTTGTATCGAGGATTCTCCAAGTTTATGCTCGAGGACCTTGCTACCAACAAATACACAAGCCATCTTAGCCGAAGCCAGTTGAGAAAGAAGGCATCAGAGGTGGCCAAAGAGATGATCCAGGTATGTTCCCTTCTTCTTTACCACACTGTGTAATGGGCGCTGAACTCGGCAGCGAAACCAGGCCTACTCAAATTTGGTAGAAATGATGTTTCCGCACCATGTGCGATTGTCAATACACGCGTCAGTGACTCGACTTGGATATATCGAGAAAAGTTCTAGAGCACAATAGTAACAATTTTTTAGACACGACAATTCTGGCCCTAAATTCGGCATTAAGATGCTAGGAAAACACGTCATCCCAACTGAGGTCATCCCCCCGACTGGTTCTGCCCTGGTTTGTTGCGATCACTTGCACATACCCACGCCCTGGCACAATTGCATGGTCGAGATCGATGGGCGCTTGAGCCTGTACACGACAAAGGCGAGCGCAGTGTGGCCGGCAGTAAGATCTGGTGATGCCACATGGGTCAGTGGTGGAGAATGTGGAAGCTATGTTCACTTCAAAAGGATAGAATCAGTAGCATAAATGGCAAATACAATTGCGTTCGATCGGTCGACATTGCCTTGAGATCCTTCCCTACGGCTGAAGATGCCGTGCAACTGTCTTGACTCTGTAATTGGTCAAAAGACATATAAATGGGTTCGCATCGACTGGATGTAGTCTCAAGTTGCGTTTTCACGACTCTCTAAGTAAAACTGAGTCGGCAGCATCTAAGTCAGGCCGCAGTATAAATATGCTTAGAATCTACCTAGCATTTCTTCTTGACTTTAGAGTCTGGTCCTCTTCAAACACTTTGTCCCTAGCTTCATATGCAATAGATTCTCGTCTCGATGCCTAGTTTCTGCCTGCCCTTGACTTAGCCTGCCCAATGCATACTTTCTTAAAGCATTTCAAATAAACGTATGAAGTTAAGATTATAATAAGATGTATGTTCTGGAATCTAGAGCGCGCAGTTCCCTATTGGACTTGACGGTTGTCAAGAAGACTGGAAGACTGGTTGGTGAGGAAATGATCACCGCCACAACCGCGGCGCTCCAGCTGAACAAGACAATACAAGAAACTTGCCACAGCACATTCGGCTCGAGCCAAATTCGAGCTGAACTATAATTCCTTAGCTTTTGGCTTTACTCCCGTTGTTGTGCGGGTAAGGCTGATGTATTAGGGAGCTGAGCTTGCTACACTCAAGATGCGCCCAATATTCGCCCAATATTTCCTGCAGCAACAGGGTTGGGCAGCCATCTCAACGCATTTTATTACTCAGGTCACAGGGATTGATTGCCCAGTAATCAAGCCGCGTACAGAACCGTTAGAAAACATTCCTTGTTCATACAGGAGCAGGGCAACAACCGCATGTACAGTCAAACAGATGGCGGCCAAATGATGAAAACCTCGAGGGACGCCATGACCAGACTGAGTCGAATTGATCCGTTGCCCCTGCATCAATATTGGAACGACATGGGCCGTGAGCAATATCTCACTGATCACCTTGACACGATTCACCCCCCCGGCGTCCTTGGAAGATACGGCAATGGCCAATGACAAAGAACAAGACCGCGAGCGTCCCCAGCAAATCATGAAGGTCCTGTCTGATAGCTGGATCGGTACTCACCGGTAACATATTTGCGCCACCAACGAAATCAGGTACTGGACCATTGGTCTCACGGGCCCGTAAGATGGCCGCCACCCCGGGACGTCCAGCGGTGCACGAGTCTTGCCATCAAGATGGCCGTGGTAGGGGCCGTGGACGCGCCGGCCGTCGTGTCCAAGACGATGCGCAACGAGGCGCTCCCGTGGCTCGTCAAGCTCAACTACGAGGGCATCGGGTCGCCTTTCTTCATCCGTTGCCCCGTGGACCTTCTTCGGCAGGCGTCGTCGCAGGCAGAGATGGCCGTGCCGTGTGCGTCAACCGCTGGGGCCAGTTCAGTACTCGGAGCTCCGGCTACGCGGCCATCTTTCAAGTCTGGGCAGATACCATGGGCCTCGAGTTCAATGGCGAGAAGATACCGCAAGACGAGCGAGGTCTAAAATACGCGCACTTTGGCCGCATCATCTCCACGGCGGTCAGGTCGTCCGGGTGCAAGTGCTTCTCGCTCCACCTGCTGGCGGTGCCGCAGATTGTTGGCAACGAAGAAGAAGCCAGAGTGATGAGGGAGTCTGAGACCAACATCGTCAACAGTCTAGTCAACGTGTATACCAACGCCGATACAGTCATCATCCTGGATTCATTGACGCAACAACTATCGTCCGATGCTCCATGTACCGTGGCAGCCATCCTCGGCTTCGGCCGGTGGCTGACACGGATGTGGACACGTCAGGAGATTAAGCTGTCTCGTAAAGCTCAAGTCGTCACCAAGACAGGCACCATGGACTTTGAGGAAATGACCTAGTTAGTAGCTGGAGAAGCTATTCAGACCACTCATATGAGGCTGCAGATATTTCTCGCTATGCAGAGGAAGCTAGGAATCAACTTCAGCATTTACGTATTCCATATCTGCCCTTCCTGTTGGCTCTGCAATCGTTTCAAATTCCTCTGTACGTTAAGCTCAAGACAGTAAGGAATTCAGGAGGGACTAGTTCGAATATTTGAAGCCAGTTATGCTTGTGTTTGAGATGGTGCTGTCTTGGCAGTCTTTCCTGGTTCAACTACTTACTCGTACCCTGCCCGTTGCTTCTCATTATCGTTAGGCATGCCTCCAAGAAGGATGAAAAGTGTTAGGCATGCTATAGCCGAGCCCAGGGTGCGCCTTATCGACTTCGGCAAGCAAGTCCATTGACTTGTGTCACCCGTTTACACGAGGGCTACGACCACGGGACTAGGGTAGAAGGCCCTCACAGATTTCTTTTATTTATAGACCTCCTTGGTTTTATAGGCATTAAAGAAAACTAAGAACTTTTAATACCAAAGACTATTATTATTAGCTGAACTGAGTTATTGCTCTAAGCTCTCCCTGAGCCCTTGTTACGACTTGGACGTTCGTCACGGTTTCTGCGCGCTAATACCGCCGTCTTACCATGATTAGTTAGACGCGCCTACTCTTCCTTCTGCTATTGTGAGAGAGGTCCTGATGTGAAGGCTAGCCTGATGCCAGTAACGGTGATGAGTAGAAATTAAGAGTAGGCGTCTAGAGGCGACTGGAAAGAGATTTACGGTTGGCCTACTATAAATGATATTAGGCTAATAACGGTCACACAATAATAAAGGAAATATCACGAGGCTAGAAGTCGGACCTAAGCGAGGCCTGCCTAAGGCCTTAAGTGTTCATTAACTTCCTGTATGTATAAAGACCTTGAATCTCTTAAGGCCTCATAAAAAAACAAAGACTTTTAATAACTTTAAGTCAATTACTAAGATCAAATTGAACCCTAATAAGACCGGCATTACATGCGTATATAGATGGTGCTACGACAGCTATCCATATCAATATGACCAGCCTGCGATTCGAAGACAGATATAACAAAGTCACGATTTAGGTATATGGTCATTATTACAAGTGGAAAGCGGGGTCTTTGGAAAGAAAAACAGGTTTTCTATGAGCAGATATGGCTCTTAGACGGCACTAAGGAGAGACGAGTGGAAAGAGTCAAGATTTGGAAGTAAAAGGTGAGGAAATAAGTGTACCACATTATAGAACTACCTTAGCTGCTTTGACTTCCCTCTTGCTTTAAAATAAGAAACTAGTGTGCAATTAAGTCGAAGTCCTTGGTTCAAATGAGGAGAAAACGAAAGACGGAGTAAAAAATGAACCTAGTTAGTCAATTGAATAACGTCGAAATTGCAACTTACATCGACTGGCTTTTCGTTCATCGGACAAGGCCATATTCTGGTAGGAAAGAAGTGGAGACCCACCGACTACTTCGCCTTCTGAGCTGGAACTCCAGCTCATGCACATTTCCATCTCTGACACGGAATTCTTGCGCTGAAATGACTGAAGGAATCGTCTCCTGCGTTGGCTCCCGTCGTGTGTTCTGCACATTGCAGCTGGAAGACGACGACGACATCTTCCTGGGTTTGTGGCATTAAACTCCTTTGACAAGCACGATTTGACGAAATGACTAGCCTCCCGGGCGAATTCAGCCTTTCAACCCACGAAGTACTTTGCCTGCATGGTAAACTGCCCGTATATCAATGGTCTCGCTTATGGCTGTGACTCGGTCTACTCGCTAGCTGGTCTGCTATCTTTGGTCGCTTGTGAGGTGAATTGTTGGGACAATAATTTCAGCCTCTTGGCTGGACGATCATCTGAGCGTGAATAACACCTCATGCGCAACGGCACCACTATGCTCGACATAGCGCGATGGACTATATAGACTGAGGCAAATATTGGAAATCCAGGAGACAATCCAAATTCTTGGAATATCTCCGAGAGTTTCTTTTACACGCCGGCGCCGCTTGACGACCTGCTTGGTTTCAACCTATGCCGATTTAATACCGTCGTCACCGGTCTACTATTACATTATGGAGACGGATCACAAGCGACTTTGAGAGAAGTGAGGGTAGACAGACTCCAAGGCGAATGTCGACAAGTGCCCCAAAATCAACAATACGATTTACAGTGTCGAGAATAAGTCATCAATGCCCGTATGTCAATGGTCTTCTGATCTTCACCGAGCAGATGGTCAAGCCACCAATCAAACACGGGCTAGATCTAGAGGTAATCTGTCAGGGTCTCTTGGAATGGTGGTTTACAAGACGGCAATGCCAACTTGCGTATGGAAAACGTACCAGTGCTTCAACTTGCTTATAAACACATATGTCGATGGCACTCCTGCCATAACAGTAGCAAAGTGGTCCTTTCGTACTAGCAGCTATGAATTTGCACACTTATATTGGCTTCGGTAGTTGGTTTTAGAAATGCTTAGCGAATGATTGCAACGTTTATGGCGAGACTAGAAAAGCAAGTGCACTGACCACCCTGACACGGAAGATCCTTCGGCGGCAAATTATCGAAAGCAGCCGTCAAAATGTCTTTGTTTCGACGCTGAACTCCATTTTGTATTGAAATAGGACTCTCTAAATCGTTGATTGTCTAAATGAACTCAGGTAAGAGTATTGTGTACTCGTTTTGGTCCGGTGTCTCTTCCAGACAGAGCGTACACGGTTCCTGGAATGTCTCAAGTATGTCTACCATTAGGGATATTCGCAGAATGGAGGGAGGATTATACGGACTATATACTGCCGAACAAGGTTCTTCCGCCCCTTGAGTCATGTTCCTAATTTTGTCAGAATAATCGGGATGTGATCGTTCGAACCGATTGTCAATTGAATAGTCGACATGTCTATGAGTATAATGTCTTGCAGTCATTGACTGATTGTAAGCTGCTCTAAATGTGACGTCGGACACTAGTGGCTAAGTGTCGAGAAGAACCAAACTAATCATAGGTAGAGCTGGGCCTATAGAGCCTCTTGAATCGAGTTTTCACCTCTTCAAGATAAGACTTGGTCGAGTCTGAAAACTAGAAGAATCTGGAAGTCTTGGCCGGGCTGAACGGCTCACGAGGAAATCAATTATTAGCATATGTATTTGGCTGCTAAGAAGAGTAACATGCTTGTAGGAATGACTTTGAGCTTGGCCTCAAAGACATTGGATTTTCGGACTTTGACAGGTATAGCCGCGAGAACTTGTTTCCCCTCCCCTCGTGTTGCTAGAAATCTCGGGTCAAATTTCGGCGAATGCAGGTTGGCGGAGTACATGAATCCATTCCTCATGACCGCGGGATGTTTGTAGCCTTCCAATGAGATCTAGCAAACCTCGATCCTGTCTTGTGAAAACTTCTCACCTCGATGTGACACATTGAACTTTCACTTTGCATGGCAACGAAACCGGTTTTTTGAGCTATCGAGTGTCCAACTGCTTTGCGATGGTACTGGCAAAAGACAACAATTCGTAGCAACGTTGCATCAACTACAGCCTTAATTTCAAGGAAAACACGGAAAAATTGGACAGATTTTGTCAAAAATAGGAATGGCAGAGAAGCAGGAAATGATGGAGCACATGTGCAGCTATTGTGTGGATTGATGAGTTGACCAACACCAACAACACCAACACCAACACCACTGCAAACAGCAACTCCGAGGCCCTAGCTCATGACTGACGGCACGCAGCTGACATGGGCCTATGCAGTTGTCTCCGCGGCCAATACATTTTTGTCGTTGCTGCTGTTGGTCGTGCGTTCCACACTTCTTTCCCTCACAAGATCACCCAAACTCAAGGCATCCATGCAATGCCTAGCAACAACGCACAGGATATGGGGCAAATGTAGCCAGTGAAGTTGGATGAAGCCGTTGAGATGTTAGCTGTAGGGGGATGTTCAATGCATGCTGTGATGACCTTGCATTTGCTGTTTGATCCATGACCCCGTGCAGCCATGAGATCCGTAAATGTATCAAGGGGAAGATTCACAGTCAAATTGGGTACGATTTTGCACACGAGTACCTCACAAGGTGGAAGAACAAATCTAGGTTGCCGCGCCGTCTTGTCGTCCGTCTCCTCGTATGAACTTGACTGAAATACGCATATAAGAAGTCAATATAGTCTCAACTCTGGAGCAGTTTTTCTTGACTGCAGTTTTGTACGTTTTCAATTTCCTCATACCAACTTACATAGTTGGACCGATCCAATTTGCAACCCCTTATTCTGTGAAGAGTCAAGACCACTCGGTAATATCACTTCACATTGCGCTTGAAGGGGGTTAACTGTTGCTAACCCATCAGCCCATGTACGACTGGTGGCGTCCCCAAACCCAACTATCTCGGGAGCACTCGGATGAGGTATCCGTGCGATGATTGCAAAGCGAATCGGCTCTGGGTGTCTGTCAATGGCGAATGGGAGCGCGCACGTGCCTAGTGGAGCTGCTTTTGCAATTTGGCCATTGAAATAGCAAGTCATGTTCCTAGATATCAAAGCCTGGCTCGAGATTGCAAAACTCGTCTCAACTTGGATTGTGTTTTCCCACAATGGCTGGCCTACGCTGGACTTGCGATGATTTAATTCGCTACCGTGGACATTGGTTTGACACGAGCAGTCTCAACCCGATGATTGAGCGGCTCCTTCTTGCTTACCCCTCTTCCACCATCTTCGCAATCGGCGGCCATTCGGTCGTCGTGCACATCTCTCCAAGCATCGTTGCGAAAGTGGCGGCCAAAGCAGGAGACGGCAGGCTACGGAATGAGCAGAAAATGTTTGAACTGTTTCATCAATCCCAGTGTCAGCATATTGTTAAATGCTTTTTCCGCGGAATCGACGTCAGCTTTCTCGAATGTCTTTCCCAAGGCACCCTCCACGACAGAATAAGTATGGTCTTCAGGACTCCCCGACCTGTCCACCACTGGATGTTGCAGCTATCATCTGCAGTCGCGTATGTAGAGAGTTTAGGGTATGCCCATGGCGACATCAACCCTCAAAACGTTTTGCTTGACGACAACGATGGACTGAAATTGATCGACTTTGATCATTCACTACTGATCGGTGACCGCCTCGATGTGGGATATGAGCCTTATGTTCGACAATATAGAATCGGCGCGAAAGACGAGGGCGGGACCTTTGGTGTTGCTGGACCGACGACAGAGCAGTACGCTCTAGGGTCGATGTTTTGGTACATGTCGCGGGGCACTGAGTTGTATGCTGAGCTTGAAGGGCCAGACCGGGTTGATCGCTTGATTGACGATATTTTCCCAGAGGTCAACTTGGAAGACCCCATAGACAAGATTATAGACAACTGTTGGCATGGACGGTACGGTCGTGTGGCTGACCTGCTCAAGGACGTGGAAGGGATCATGGGGAGCACGAGAAAGGAGCAAAAGTTGGTAGATGGAAGTGACGAGGTTGAGAAGCGGCGCATTTGTGAAGAATACTACAACAGCGTAACACGTCCACAGGAAGATCTAGCTGTGGATAACATGGATACAGATAATTAAAGCTACAAGGCGTTGGTTTATATAACTAGGCGGCCAAATAAGATATTTCACACTCAGTCTAGCCTTCTGTCCAATGTTAACAGCGTGAGTTATGCTTTCGAGGTGCTTCAGTCACCATTTTTAATGCAGAACGAAAATTTTCAGAATTCCTCAAAAAAGTTGATTTCTTACGAATCCAATTGTGCAGAGCACCAAATGAACGAAGCTGGGGGGCAATGCTAGTCAAGTGTTCCGTGGTCCGGGGCAGCTGACCCTACCTTTCAATTCAGGTGGTAGCAAGCGACACCTTCAACACTTGTCCCAGGAAGCCTGGATTCTCTTCATACCTGACAACATCGTGATGGACCTTGCCTGTTACTCGAAGCTATTTTAAAACCCAACAGTAGTGAAAGGTCGCACATAGTTCGTGCATTTGCCCTCGTTTCCATGACGCCGCTCCGCACCAATGTTGACATGACCTCACCGAGGCCGCATAGAAAGAACCAGTGGCTAGGAATATAAACATTAGTGCAAATACACTTGATCATCGCAAGAGCATGACAACATACAAGAAGGCCATTTGCCGGACAAGATGGACTAGAATCTATAGTTGCTTGTTGGATAAATATGGTGAGCAGCAGGACACAAATATTTGTAAACATGAGCTGCATCGTAAACCAGAGTCTGCATAAGCCTCTGGCCTCCGCGTGCTAGACGCAGCTCCTGTAGCTGTCCAAGATTATGGCATAGAATTTCCGTTTTATCCCTCATGACACGGGGTCTTAGTGGTACATGGGGCGAGAATATAAGCTCGAGATTGTAGTATCAATGCTTTTCGGACCAACGGGGACTAGACGTTTGGCAAGGTTCCCGACCATGCCACCAGGAGCTTGGCCTAGCTTTGGGTCGTATGATGTGTCAAGTTGGCCGAGTAGACCTTCTTCAGACCCAATCAACTATGAGAGTGTGTGAAATAATCATATTTTTCTATCAAAGGGTCTTGAATTAATATTCGATATATTTCTCTCATATAGCTTTGCATCGAAGGTCATGACTCGAATAAGAGTTTGTGGCCAACGAGTGAAGTAAAACTGAGATGTAGCTCTGTAGATGCTCTACTGGCAATAAAATGGAAGTAGGCCCTTATATGAGAGTGGCATTGTTGACGTCTCGGAAATTCAACGCAGCCTTCCTCCAACCCGAATATCCGACTGTTGAACCCACACCGAAGGTCCCCAGTCCTGGTGCCGTTATTGTGGGGATGACTCTCAATAAAAGAAGGTCAAGCCTGGTTGTAAGAAAAAACCAAACCCACGCTCTCACCCACTTCGATTCGGTGCTCTCATTGCGCACTAGAACTGGTATGTGACAGCGGTCAATTGCTAGTCTTTGCCAGTGAAGAATGTTCTGAATTGTTAGAGTACTGCTAATATGCCCATATCTGGATTACAATTGTCTGTCTGAACCCCATGATCCCTACATGCCCTGTCTGGTCTCGGTGACTTGGGGTTTGTCATTCGTTATCACTCAACCCTGGGGTGTACACGAACACTTTCTCGTTTCAACTTGTAATATTTGACATAAGCAATAAGGTAGATCTTCTAGCAGTTGCTTTACGCTTGCGAGGCTTTCAAGTAATTCCTTCTTGAACTGTTGGCGCTTCCTAGGCGGCGCGGGTGTAGTTGAAATGCAGATGAACCCGCGCTTCAAAAACTATCATCATAGAATTTTTTTGGCTGCTTATCCGAACATGACTTTCGACAATTTGAGCTGTTGAATGTCGTGGAGGGCATGATTGAGACATGACACGATCTACATGTACAGCCAAGGTCACAAATGGCGCAATGTAGGCATTTTAATTGGCTTCATCCTGTTCAATCACATCGTATACTTCCTAGCAACCCAGTTGATATCTGAAAAGAAATCCGAGGGCGAGGTTTTGGTATTTCAAAGAGATCAACTACCCGCCACATCACTCCAAAAGCGAGACATCGAAGGGAGCAACTCTTCCTCAGCCATGGTCACCTGAAAGCCTGGTCAGTCTACACTTAGAGATGAGGGGGCTTTTCGGACGTCAACTAGTGTGGAGCAATGTGTGTTACGATATCAAAATCAAAGGAGAACCTAGAGGCATCTTGAACAATGTAGACGGTTGGGTCGAGCCGGCGACCTTGACTGCCTTTATGGGCGTTTCGGGTGCCGGGAAAACTACCTTACTCGACTGTCTGGCGGATCGGATATCCATGAGCGTCATCACGGGCGAAATGCTTATTGACGGTAAATGACGTAATTCGTCTTTCCAGCAAAAGACAGGCCATGTCCAACAGCAGGACCTTCATCTCGAGACGACAACAGAGCGTGAGGCCCTGGAATTCAGCGCTTTACTGCGTCAACCAGCGGTGACGCCAAGCTCCGAAAAGCTTACTTGCGTAAATGAAGTTATTAAGCTGCTCAACATTCAGCCCTACGCGGACGCCATCTTCAGCACACTTGGCGAAGGTCTCAATGTCGAGCAGCGAAAGCGATTAACAATCGGAGTAGAGCTCTCGGCAAGACTGCCATTGTTTCTGTTTGTTGAAGAAACAACGTCTGGACTTGACTTGCAGACATCTTGGGCGATTCTTGATCTTTTCAAAAAGCTTTTCAAGCCCGGGCAGTCCACCAGCCGTCCGCAACGCTCTTTCAACGCTTGGATCGACTGCTCTTTTTTAGCCAAAGGCGGCCGAACAATTTACTTTGGTGATATTGGAAAGGACTCGTCCACCATGGTATCCTATTCGAAACAAATGGTGCGCATCCGTGTCCCAGTGGCGATAATCCTGCGGAATGGATGCTAGAAGTCATCGGGGCGGACGCCGTCTTGCACTTACTCCAAGTTTATCCTCTGCGCCTCCGTTTCTTTATTTATCGGGCTCGTATTTCTCGACGCTCCGCTCGGTATTCAAGGCCTTAAAAACCGGATGTTTGCCATCTTTACTACTTTCAGCATCTTCGGGTAGTTGGTGCAGCAACAAATGCCACGTGTTGTCATTCGGCGATCCCTATGCGAAGTACGAGAGAGGCTGTCGGAAAACTGCAGCTGGAAAGTCTTTATGCTGTCCCAAATTCTGGTTGAGATACCGTGGAGTACACCCATGTCGGTCGTCATGCTTGTGTGTGTCTACTACCCGGTCGGCTTCGACAACAACGCCGGTGCCTGTTTTTGGCAGTTTCTCATGTTAACGTGCACCTTTGCGCATGCCTGCATCGCCATCATGGACACGGCGGAGGGAGGCGGCAACCTAGCCCATGTGTTCTTGATGTGCCTGGCCACAGCGTTTAGGGTTGGGGTTAGGGTTGACAGATTTGTGAAGGTGCGTGCACCGGTATTGCTGATCCCCGCACCGGAAGTCGCATTGCGCTTCATATTGTGGGTATGGCGTCAACGGGAGTGGTGCTTGGTAATTCGCACAGAGCCAACTACAAGTGGCTAGCCCACTTAGTTACCAAAAGCCTGCAAAATCTCTCATTTTTCATCAATCCTACTTATTTATCAACGAGCTATCAAACAGGCTATCTCTACGTACTGGGAACAGCACAGGTTCAGGCGCTACATCACTCGCCATGACCCGCATCAGTATTCCCGCGGCGCCACGGCCCGAAGATGACCTAAGGACGGTCGTGCAAACAAGGACTAGGGAATGGCATTTCCATATCTATTTCCTGCTGCAATCTCCTACTGAAACGGCTGCAGCACTGGCACTTCGTGATGCCGTATTGAGACTCCGTCGCGATGGTAAGCAAAAGAAAACACTGCATCGTCCCTAGACTCTTGATTAACAATAACAGGCGCCTTTGTCGCTGTTCCGTTGCACAGGGTCAACGAGTATCCAATCGGACCGCATCCTGCTGGGTCATACGAGAGTAGGTGCACATGACTTGTGACTTGATCTCAAGAGTCAGGGCTAATGCTTGAACAAAGTCTGGGTGCCCGACTCCTCGTTCTCCGAAGTCTTCTTCTACTTGGCATCAAATCGAGGAAACTTGAGGCAAGTATCTGGCATTCTTACCTTGGCTTTAACTAGCTTGAACCTCCCTAGTTCACCTCGCCGCCCGAGATGCCCTTCCGAGTAACTCAAAAAACGCACGACGCTTCTATGCTAACAACTTATCTAGCATCCTTATCCATCCGCTAACCTCGGAACAACGCCGAGATCATGAAACTCGCAATGGCTGGTTGGGCACGCCGTGGCCCATCTACCTTGATAGCTTGCCGACCAAGAGTGACGAGGCTCCGCTTCAGTATCCTGAACTGCGTCTTGGTTGGTCTACCGCCCCAGAGGAGGAGATTTCCCTCGATGAGAGGCGAAGAAGAGGGGCTGAGGTTGAGGCGCTGTTGGCCAGAGATCCTGAAGCAGCTCCTGCTCCCGTCGATTCATAAGGAAGCTGCGGTCTGTCAGTCTGCAGCCTTCTCAAAAGTAAGCCGAAAATGGCAGAGACATCTTACCGAATCATCAGTGCTATCAATACTAGGCCATGCCAAACAGTGTGATGTAACGGACAAGAAAAAGAGATTATGTATTGCAGAGGTAAGAATTAGTCACGGGGAATCATGCTGAATTCTAGTCTGCTATCTATGGTTGTCGAGGTTTTCATTTTTGCTTTATATAGTTATTATTTGAGAACTGGGCCCCAAGATTGCTAATTCTCATTAGCCATACAATTATCAACTCCATGTTTTCCACCTCGACTAGCAAGGACGATGCTTAGTTTAATTCCTAGACTACATCACCGTGCCCCTGTAGTAGCCCGGATAAAGGATGCTTATGCATCCGACGTGGCCGACCTGGGGTGCATCTTAACACGTGTCTCGTCATCGACTTCGTCCTATCTTCCATTCTAGGTTGCCTTTCAAGTTATATTCTTTGAAGGTTTCATGATTCGGGCTATTGCTTTGTACCTCTAGGCAATAACCCTGTAAAAGAGGATTTCCGCGCCATCCTTAGGTTTGGCTCGCCGCCATTGCCGTTTAGTTCAAGCCAGCACACCGCTCACATATATGACTGTTTCCTACGTAGAGATTAAGCTAGTGACCAGAGATGTGTAAAGCTAACTTAACCATAATAAAATTCACTTTAGTTTTGTATTTAAAATTTACTGTTACTAATTTCTATAAAAACAGGTAGCTTAACTATGTTAAAAATAAATACTTGTCTTTGGCGAGTACTGTTTACCTCCTCATAAGCTATCGAGAGCGTTATGAAAATGGAGCTATTTCTCATTTTCTCGTACACTCGGCGATTTTCGATCTAGCAGCCTTTTGCACACCTTGCTCAACATACCACCCTAGACGCGTGTGCAGCTGAGATTGCCCGTCTCTAACGGACCGTCAACCTTTTAGTGTCAGAGACGAGACGTTGATGGATGCGAATGCACGAGCGAACCGTTATGCGCTTTCCCCCGGACATTTGCCCCGCACTTCCTACTCCGATTTTCCACAGCTGCTCCTCGGTAATATTAGCTTTCATCGTCATCAAAGTAACGACTTTTGTAACCGCTCTCTAGCGATTCAAGCCATCCCCATTCTGATTTCCAACGCCGTAGCAATGGTAACCTATACAAACCTCGACCTTGTCCAACAATGCGATAAGTGAGCAGTCCCGGAGTGACAATCACAAGCGTAGTACTGATTTGACCAGATTTCCGTACGCTCAAACGGGGCCAGACGAGTACGCTAGAAAGGTCTCAGGGTATTACAAGTTCTACGTAGAAGGGTGTGATGCAGTGCTTGGCTTTATGCTCCCGGCTACCGTCCAAGGGTTCCAATGGCCGGATTTCTGGAGAGTCGACCGCGAACGGAAGACTGTGCTGCTTTGTGGCAAGACGCTCAAGGAAAGGGATGAACACGTTGCCAAAACTCTTGCCGCAGAACGTGAACGCCGTCACTTCAAGGTTCTCGAGGGATGGCGAAAGGAGCTATACCCAGTCTATGGTCCGGACCGCAGCATGCTCGTCAATATCGAACGAGCGGCCAGCCCCTTGTTTGGGATTGTGGTATACGGAATCCACATGACTGGGTACGTCAACACAGAGGGTGGCCTCAAGATTTGGGTGTCTCGCCGAGCCAAGAACAAGCAAACCTATCCTGGTATGCTTGATAACACTGTCGGCGGAGGTATGGCAAGTGGCGACAAACCATTTGAGAGCATCGTGCGAGAAGCTGCTGAGGAGGCCTCGTTCCCCAGGGATTATGTGATAAAGAAGGCCAAGTGCTGTGGTACCGTCAGCTATTTCGACATTCGTGATGAGCGAGCAGCACCTGGTGCAGAGGTTGGGCTGTTGCAACCTGAATGCATTTACGTCTTTGATCTTGAAGTCCCTTCAGACTTTGTGCCACGTCCACATGATTTGGAGGCAGAAGATTTTCGTCTCTGGGGTATCCCTGAATTACAGGCTGCTTTGAGGAAGGGGGAGTTCAAGACAAATTGTGCTCTAGTGTTGCTTGACTTCTTCATTCGCCATGGCATTATCACACCCGAGGAAGAGGAGGACTACGTCGAGATTGTCGCAAGACTTCATAGAAAGCTAGAGTTTCCTTGCGTTTGATATCAACTTGGCACGCTACAGCGTGTGTAACATTGCCTTGTTGTCTGCTCATTGTTCGGGAGAAAGCTAAACAAGTTCTGGTGTAATAGTAGATCCAGTTGTGTGATTCCAAGTTGATGGAGCCCGAAGAGGCCTCAGGGAGGGAGACAGACGGAATCCTGAGGTTTCCACTGGCTTCCACTGCCTACATTTTTGGCCATGCTCTCGCACAGAGTCGTGACAGCTGCAGTGCACAGAAATGCGGAGCGTGAACCACTCTGGTCACATGGCAGCAGACGGTTCTCAAGAAGTGGAAAACTTCCTGGTCATTTTAAATTTTCCTTCATCTGCTCCCTGTGTAATGTGGAAATATATTGAGCGGCCGAGCTACAGTGTTACACCGTCAACTCCGGGTGTAGGGAAAGCTACTAGTTCAGGCCTAATATTGTGCTGAATATATTTAGGAGCCAGAGTAGCATACTACATGCCTCTGGCTCACGTTCATGACCCGGGGCACTGTCAATCGCAACTTGCATACATGACCCAGAAAAGTCACGGACAGTGAGTCTTGGGGGATTGATCTTGCTGAACTCGCAGGTATTGTGTCCTAGGAGCTGGGAATACTCTGTGAAGCCAAAACGATCCCTATAAACAAAACCCCTATATTGACCTCCTCCCGAGAGTTGCCACCAAGCAGCAATTGGTTGTTCTAAGAAGCACTAAATTAAGGGGTTGGGCAACGTAGCCAGCTCCCCCCTTTCCCATCTAGACTCAATCATCTTAGAACTATTACCATAGGGTAAAGAGCCCTTATCTCAACCATGGCTATGACACTATTGACAGCTAAAGAGTGCCATTCATTGTGTGCCCTGTCATGTACGTGTGGCTAATAACGTAAGGAGTCTGTGGAATAGCAAGAAGACTTCGAATTAAAACTTGACGTACTCATACTAGCACTGAATTGTGGTAAGACTCATACTTGGCATGATATGATGTTGGAGTGGGACTTTTGGATTGTAGGCGGCACATATGCTGGATCTAGGGAGTGTGCCTAGAGACAAAGGAACTGGGCCCCTGGGTCGGGTTGTCGATGAGCAGTCTAGTCGCTTTTGCGCCTAGGAGTGGAAGAGGTCCTTGGTTAGAGGGAAAAGAATAATTAATATAAGGCGGGTTGGTGTGATATTCTACATTAGTCGTGTAGTCGCCGACGTTTCGAGCATCGACTGATCTTCGTGCCAGCGGATGCTGGGACATGGAAAATCAGATTGTAGCACTTAATTTTGGACTAGTAGTACGGACAACACCCAAATTGAGAAATGAAAGCTCTGGAGTCATTTCTCCCAATAGCAAACTAATGTCGAGCTGTGTTGCAGCCGAGCATTGCCTTAGTATGTGTCTCTTGTATGAATATGACGCTGATAGCTTGCACGCGGCCGCTAATTACGACCATTACCCAACAATTTCATCACCAGTCTTCGGCCAAGGCAGATATCAGAGGAGGACTCTGAGGAGAACGGGGACAAACCAACTTACCTATCCAGTCATGGCAAATATAGCAGCGGCAAGTCATTGATGATTGTGGATTGTAATATCCACCAAAAGTCCTACCGCTACGATTTGAAGGGGTTCCTCAACCACGAGTCAGTCTATTCAGTGCCGAGAACGTAACCATGACACTTGCAGAGTCCAACCTGCGCCTACCATAAATAGCCTATGTTGGTGGCATCTCTCGACGGTAGGGCCAACACACTCCGTCAGGTCAAGCCACCAGACTCGTTCACGCGTTATTGATCTGAAGTCAGTTTATTATAGGAAACAAACCATTTGCTTCATTTACGAAGAATATCAAGAGTCTTTTGTTTTGTGTAAGCTGCCCCAAATAATTGTGCCGTGTGACACGCTCTTTGTATCCCATGACCATGTTTGTTTCACCGTGACGTTCAATAAACTAACGATGCGGCGGAAACGTTGTGTGCTGCGATCTTTTTGCGTAGTAGACTCCGTTTCATTCACATTTAGCGCATGACCATAATGTAAGTACATAGTCTGAGTATACTTCTATCTCTACCTAGGTAGGCAATTGCCGCATCATCTGATATCCGGTACTATTAAAGCAGTTGAGGGCTTCCGAAAATGCTAGCAGTGACATTGAGCATGCCTTTTACAAAGAATTGACGTTGTCCTCAGAGTCCAGACTGTATTCTGCACTAGCGCTTCAATCCACATTTCATGACTGACTAGTTACAAATACGTGGGCCCGCATAATGTTCGCAAGTGATGGCGTTCTTTCAAACCATTGACATTGAGTTTCGAACTTGACGGGACTTATTATCCCTCGATGTCAAGCTACTACTGCGGCCAGCTTGCTCTACATTGATCCATGTCCACACATGATGCTGGTCGGCTTATTTTTCCCCCGCACGGCCAGAGCCCAACCAACCCCGCTTCTGACTGAGCCAGGGACGCCCAATACACTGAACTCCCTGGTGAATGGCGCCAATTATCTCGGAATAGACGCTGAGGAGAAGCAGACACACCTGGAAATAATGCAAGCATTCGACACTATAGAGCTGGATGAAGAAGAGCTCGTCTTGGCCAGGGAGGCGGCGAAGCAACGGGTCAACAGAACCCAAGTCCACCCTAACCTTTATTCCCATGATTGGTCGGAAGCGCTTGACGCATTTTTGGACAGAGTGAAGCAGAGACTGGTAAGTAAAACAGCGTGCACCCAACGCAAACATGGCGCGCTGACCAACAAGACACGGAAATTGGACACATGGGGAGCCACATTGGACAAGGTCAAAGCAAAAGCAGTCTCTGTGGGTGCTGGCGGCGGAATCAGGGCTGTCAGCGGAACCATTTCCCTTGTTATACCGATGCACCAAGACGACTTTGAGATGGAGATATACATAGAAACCCCGACTCCAGTAACCAAAGTTCACAGAAGAATCTGGAGGCATAACTTGGGCTATTCACTTCTGCAGCCTGGTACAGCAATTGGCACAAAAGAAGAGGAGATGTATTTGCTACTTGCAAATTTCAAAGTTGGTGGCAAGTAAGTAATAGCATAGACTGTTGTTATATAATAAATTGGCTTTTATCAGGAGCAGAGTTCAAAAAGCCCCCAAAACTATCCGCATCAAACGAAGTAATACACATCTCGTCTAGGGACTGCGTCAAGTCGTTCCAAGCTAACATTAAAGGGACCGTTGGCCCACCCCAGGAAGCGGGTTTGTTGCATCCCATCACAGCTCGGAAACCAAAGAATATCAACCCAAGCAGTGCCGCAAGATCGACTGTTGCCTCCACTGGCTCAATAGAACGTGAGTGACGGATCGGGTCGGCCCAAGCTGACGACAAGAAGACGTAAAGACATGTTTCAGTTGAAAAGAGAGGAAACTTGTCGTCCATCTCATACGCTGCATGTTGTGTGGGAAATACTATTCTCGGTCATTCTAGAAGGAAAAGCAAAGCCATGAAGTAGGTTCGGTTATGTGGCATATGTGGTGGGATTCCAAATTAGTTTAGCGACAGGAAAGTCGTCTGATACTGGTTCGCTATTTTTTTTTAGTCATGTATTTTGACGAACCAGAATCTATTCTGTACAGCTTGAGGTAGCAAGCTGACTTGGTGCAGAAACGGAAGGTGGTAACTAGTCGATGCGCTGTTCGGGCTTCATGTCTTCAATTAGAATGACGAATCATCTTGTGATATGTATCTAGCTCTTAGAATAGTTCAACACACTCCAATATTTGTTATTGTACAGCTTAGATTATTTGCCTGATTTGGTGATGAATTTGCACCGTTCGTTCGCACTCTCTCATGCCATGTAGCAATTACGTTCGCTGTTCTCTCGTCGGCTATACGGTCCCATACCTCATCAAACGACCTAGGAAGGCCTTCCGCTCAAGCGTTGGTTGCTCACCTCCACACATACTCTCTCTTCACAGCGCAATACATGAATGGCCCACTATGATCGCAACCGTTCAAAGTCTGAAGCAGAGGTCTGCATGGAAGAAACAGCTCTCCTATGCACACTTACACAGATGGTGAGAACGTCAGCCAAATGGGAGCATAGCTGTTATTGGGCTTTGTTCAGAGGGTTGTCCGTCTCTGCATGCACATACCCTCGAGGGCCTGCGGTCGATAGGAGGGTGAGGAAATGTCACGTGGTGAAGCAATACAGGTACATCGTTTTGTCTTGGCCCTTCAAAGCGTGAACTTCCTCCTCTTTTCAAACCATCAACCACAAACTGTCATCCCTGCGACCGAAACACAATGGACAGCATCAACAGAGCCGAGGCCAAGAAACGCCGCCAATGTTTTATTGCGGAAATTTGTAGCAGAATTGATAAATTCTGCGAACTGGGAACGCGACATCATCCCCAGAGCCTCTGCTGCACGCCTTTCAACCCAAATGGCCATGATAAGTTCATCAAGCACGGTAGTTTTAACTCATGTGTTTTCATTCAATTTGACACTTGTCCTCCTGAAAAATGGGTAATACGGATACCTTTTCCGGATAGCCCTTACATTATGAGCTCAGAGATAGCTACAATGAGGTACGTGGATGTACTACGTCCGTTTCAACAGGACTAGAGGCTGACAACTTGGGCAGTTATGTTGCCGCAAAGACTACCATACCTGTACCACTGGTATATGCCTACTCCCTCAGCGACGATAATCTCATAAAATCGCCCTTTCTAATTATGAACTATGTCGAGGGCAAGACTCTTCAAGATCTACTGTTCCAAAAGGGGGCCAGAACTCCAAGGTCCCAAGTACTGAAGGTCTATAAACAACTTGGTGAAATGAACCTTGAGCTACGTCGCCTTGAATTTCCTACAATTGGAGCTTTAGGGCTGCCAGAAAAGTCTACTGAGCCCCTAAATGCCTGCAACCCCGATAGCATTGCAGTTCAAAATCGGCCTCTGACTCTAAACATGGCTTTGCAAGCGGCTGAGGGTTATCAGCCAGATACGATTATTGAACAAGGAAAGACGTTCCACACAGCCCGCGAATTTGTGGATGCTCTTATTCGTCTTTCTGAAAACCAATTTACTAAATCACCGGACGTGGGATTGGACCAAAGACGTGGCCGCTCCTTGCTCTACGCCAGGGACGCCTTCCATCGCTTTGCTTCTGAAGACTGGCTTGAAACAAATGGTCCATTTGTTCTTTTGCATGGAGACATCACTCTCCACAATAATAATATCCTTTTCGACCAGGATTGCAAAGCCGTTGCCGTGATCGATTGGGAATGGTCTTTTGTGGGACCTGTCCAATTCCTCGTGCCACCTGTCTGGTTAACGGGGTCGGGATTCGGGTTTATGCTATTAGAACTTTACTGGTTTAAACAAGAGGCAGAGCAACTACTCTGTCAGATCAAGCACAGTGAAGCCTCATCACAAAATACGACCTTGCTCTCGCGTTTCTGGGAAACCTTCTCCGTTCCATGCGGCACAGCAATGACTGTAGCATTGCTAAGCCCGGACCATATATATGAAGCATTTTGGAGTGTTATATTTTGGGAAATTCAGGGTGTGGATCCATATGACCCTGACTTTTATATAAGCAACTATTCCCGTGGCCTTATAATCCCACTCCTTGAGGATTTTATGACACCTGACAAGACCAAGCTACTTGAACGAAAACGTACGGAGCAAGACGCCTTCTGGCAGAGGGAACAAGAATATTTTGGACTGGAGGAGAAGACTCAGTTTCTCGGTTAGGTAACGATGAGACGCCAAGACGACAAAAGGAAAACAGATTGATTTCAGCCTTGACCAATTGTTAGGGCCACAGAGAGAGAGGATTGAAAGAGCAAGTTTAAAACTTAGATATCCGGAGTACTTGCACAAAGATAGCTACTGCTGGCTCTTTTTTCTCCGTCAACAGTTGAACCTGATGACCGTTGTGACAATGTGTCTCGGGTCGAAAAACCGCGAGACGTATATTGAGAGTATCCACGAAGGCGGAACCCCGGAGAGCTCAGCGACTCTCATGATCGACGTTGAGCAGTTCAATCATTCCATGGACAGTTTGGGTCCTATGTGAGACTGTTTTATCACACCGTCTATGGAAGAGTAATTGACATTTTTACAATCGTTACCAGATCATTCAAAGCCCTGTCTTCTCATCAAAACACCTTGATCTATGAGTAAATATGCATCTCTCAGCAACCGACTGGGGTGTATAATCAGAAATGCCACCATAACCAACCACATGAGTGCTGCATCAAACAAGTAGACGAATACTTCATGAGATACTATGAACCCTTGGTCCCCTTGCGCATACTCTATAACACGTACCAGACTCCTGACCAAAACGAAGCTGGCCGTGAGAAGCACAGTCCTGAAGTGATTTTTCCAGTTGACCCCAGCATCTTTGCAAAACTCTTTTGCTTCTCGCCGACTGATCGAACGGGATACATGCCAAGTTATGTAGCAGAAAATTGATAGAGCAACAAGCTGAAGGATTAGCCCTCCAAGGATAATTTTTCGACTGAGCTCAATGAGATTGGCGTCGCCGGAGGCTGGCATGACAGCGCCTGCAAGCTGGCTTGCAAGGCATGCGACGTCTATCAGGACGTAGAGTCGGGTCATCCAGCGAGGCTTGATTAGGGAATATTGTCCGGCTTGAAGAGCAGTTATGATCCTCCCAAGTGCCATATAGATTGTGGCTGTGAGCAGTGGTGCCCCAACGAGAATGAGGAGGTTTTGTTGTATCCAAGGTCCGACCTTGTCGGGGCGGTCGTGCGACAATGCTCGGCCATAGTAGCCAAAGAGCTCAGCTATAAATTTGTATTAGGTTTCACTAAAAAGCATAAGGTTATGGAAAAACATTAGTTCTTACCAAGGCCGCCCATAAGAAACGGAATAAAGATCCAGGCTTTCAGCCGTATGAGGTAGACAAGATGAGCGAGAGTCGCGATCGCAAATAGAACCATGAATGCGTATCCTGCTTCTCGATTTGGTCGATACTGATAAAATACAACTATCATTGTTCCATTGACGATGGGACCGAATGGGCCGTCTTCGCTTTGTGGTTGATGCATGTTGCCGGATTTCGATGATTGAACAAGAGTTGATGAAAGACGCGATACTTTTTAAAAACAGAAACAATTATAGATACCAGTGTACGAAAGTGAAAGAAAGGGCATTTACATAAAGAAACAACCAGAGGGCGGCTCTAAAGCCTTGTGTTTGAACTCATTTACCCTAGGGCTTGTCGTTCACGAAAGTTAATGGCGAAACCATTAGGCAAGGTCCTGTACACGCCGCCTCGTGGTGAAGAGAGCCATGACATATTATATATACTGGAAAACCGGCCATTCTCGACCATGCATGCCAATTTACACTTTAAGTTTAGCTGCACAAGCACACTTACCGAATAGGGTAATTGGAATCAAGTTGGTATTTTTCGTATTCCTTTGCGAAAATCCGAGCCAATGGGGTAATTGCATAAAAACCCACTCGAGAACAAGAGCCCCTGGACCCACCAGGGCCACCATGACGCGCGTCATGGTGTGCAATTACCGACCGTATTTTCAGTCAAAGACTGAATCCCGAATTTTCGTATACATAGTGAATGCCGGTAAAGAGCCTGATATTCTCGTTCAATAACGTGTGCGATACCTTTCCGGTGTTGGTGCTGAGCGGGTTGATCATACACGGGTCGAAGCCCTGCCTTGAAGAGCCCCAGTTGCCACATGACCATGGTCAAACGAAGCAGGAAAACACACCAGAAGTCGAAAACCGGATGTCAGAATTGCAAAAGACGCAAGGTCAAGGTACTTTTCAACCCAAAAATAGTCACAACTGTGGTTCCGCGTAAGCCTAATTGTCCCAGGCTAACAATCCCATCCAATAGTGTGACGAGACGAGGCCAACTTGTTCGGCATGCTCAAAATTCAGTATACCATGCTCGTTCTCGGCCCCTTGTACAGCAGCGACGTGTGATTCCGCCGGTAATCACGTGTCTCATACTGTCCAAATTCGCCCTCGCGGCAGAGGTCGACCAAGAAAAGACTGGCTGCAGCTGCCACCTGATCCTCGGGTCCCGGACAGCAGGCCAACATACAGAGACGACTCACCATTGAACTTGGGCGAAGCAGAGTTGCTACTGCACTTTACTCAGGTCACAGCCCAGTCCCTCGCTGGGGATACCGACCCCAAGGACCAAATGGTACAATTCTGGGCTCGCAATGTCCCACGAATCGGACTTTCGAATCCCTTTGTGCTCAACTTGATGTATGCAACTGCCGCTTATCATCTAGCTGAATTAAGTTGCAACTTGGACAAAAAACGCCATTACAAGAGCATGGCAGAGAGCCACTGGACCAAAGGGACCGCTGTTCTTAGTACGGTCATGGGCATTTTGGACGATAGCAACTGCGGCGCGGCATATATCGGGGCCACTCTATTATGCTATTGCAGTTTCGCAGCTGGGCCGTCCGGTCCGGGAGATCTGCTAGTTTGCGATATTGACGGGAAGAACAGATGGCGCAATTTGGTCAGCGGAGTGAGACTGATCAGAGAATCATTCCCTGAGGATATTCTGTTCGCGGGTCTAATGAAGCCGTTAGGACACTCAGAACCAAGGGAAACGAAGCGAGGAGCTACCGCGGCCTGCGCAGCGCGTGGTCTCCCTCGAATAAGTTGGCATGATGCAATGGCATCAATGAGAAAACTTGCTGAACGTCAAGACGGTCCATATGCGCTGGTTTGCGTACAGTCACTAGATGAATTGGCATTAATATATGAAGGTGTGTATGGAGACGAGTCTGGAGAACGCAATGTTTCCGAAGATCGTCAATTCGTGTTGAGTTGGCTGTATAGGCTGGACTCAGATTTTGTTGAGGCCGTGCGTTGCCAGGATACAGTTTCGCTACTTGTTCTAGCGTATTTCGCAGTTTTGCTAGCGACAATGGAAGGAGAATGGTGGTTGAGGGGTTGGGCACAGCATCTAATCACGAGCATCAACGACATTGTTGGCCCGACGGCGATACAATGGCCGAGAAACCAAGTTCTCAGACAACTGCATTTGACACAGCCCGAGTTCGTGCCCTGATATCGATGACTGCTTTTTGGCCGAATTATTACGGTTGGAGATTGGGTTTGGTCAAAGACTATTCAGTGTATTTCTGTGACAAGAGCTTAGTGAGGGTCATTATGACCGAATCGAGTTATTACTATTCGTTCATAATGATAATTTTTAGTATCAAAGATCCTTGATTTTTTCAAGGCCTAGATGGACTAGAGTGCTTTAGGTATACAAGAAGTCAGTGAGAGCCTTACGCCCTAGGTCTCAATCGCAGTCCGCCAGCTCTCGGATAGCTTTCGATACCTCAGTGCTAGTAGTATGCGTGCTTTCTTTCCCCAGATAGCCAAGGGTATACCAAGGCTGTTGATGAATGGGTTCATAAATCCGCACATGATGAGCATATTGGTTTCGCCCACCCTGTCCAGCCACGGCGTGATAGTGCAAGGCCCGATAATGCTAATGGAGCATCTAAAAAAGGTGATGGCAACAAACGTTTGTCTAACCAGCTGAGACAGAATTAGGAATGTGCTAATTATACGTGATCAACCACTTACAAGTGGAAATGCCTCCAACACTATGGTAAGTGATATGTCAGTAGTCGCTCCAAATCCAAAGGCGAACATTGCTCCGCCTATACTTGGATAAATGTAATGCATGCCCTGCGAATCCCATGTGTGAGCGCACGAGGTGTAATCTTCGAAGCTCTGCGGCCCTACTGAGAAAAATCTCAAGCTCCTACCCTATCCGCCGTAACACCAAATATGATGACACCACCTGTGTTAACAATGGCAGGGAATAAGGGGATATAACCGCAATTCGGCCTCAAACACCCCTCTATTCCTTCGAGACAGCCTCACAATTGCCCAATCTGTCAATGGCCCTCCGTAGAAAAAGGACAAGATGGTTGCTATGGTCGGGCCTGTATACATGTAACCGACTTGAGCTGGATTCAATTTACATGGCGGCGCAGCAAACACAATGGTTAGGACGGATGAGATAACAACAAGCCAGCAAACTCCGGATGCCAACTGCAGCCAGCCAAACGCGACGTGCGGCATGAAATCAGTATAGACCGGAGCAAGCGTGAGTTTCCACAACGATTCGTCAGTTTGAGTAACAAGCCGCATCCCATGTCGGTACCTTTGCCAGGTTGACTTTGACCCGGTTGAGGGAGTAGTGCAGGGAGACGTCTCCAGGTCAATTATATCTTTGGTATCAGGCTCTCGGTTGCCTTGAATCATTGGTATCCACTTATTAAGAAGATTAAAATAGCATTGATTGCTGTCATGAAGCCCGCGAGCGTCGTGTAAGAGACTCGCCAGCCCTGTGCCTCGGCCTGGATACCAGCGGTCATGGGTGCAAGGAAACTGCCGCCCATTACAGCTGCAGCATAAATACCGTTCGCGGTATCTCTCTGATGAGCGAAAAAGACGTCGTTGACCTGTAGGCGTAAAGCTTGTGGTCAGCCTTTGGATGCAGTTATAAATGCTGCGCCCTCATAAACCAAATCCCACTTACCGACATCTCAAGTGACGTGTCAGTAATCGACGCCGCAAAGCCGTACAGCAAGCTCGTGCCGCTCTTCCCGTAGCCAAACCCCCCAGCGTCTTGCTCGGCACTTCGTATGCCCTTATCCTCTATCCCCCCTTCCCTTCTACTCCCCGTGCCTGTCCCCCTTGCATCCTGGACCTCTGGGATCCAGGCCGACGAGAACAGAGCCCCGAGAACCATTGCAAGTGAAGACCCTCCCAAGATCCAACCCAACTTCACAAAATCAAGGCTGGCGATCCCGGTGAAGGGGAGAAAGGCTTGAACGACAATACGACCCAGCTTTCCAGCGGCAGCAGAGATGCGGTGGCAAGGCCCGCGGTATCGTGCGGGAAAGACTTCCGCCGGGACAATGGAAGTTAAAGTGTTTGGACCCAAATTGAAAAAAAGCAGCTGGCGAAACACATAGAGGACAAATGTAAGAGCGTGGAGATTAGAGTGCGCAGCCTTGAGATATGAGCCGCCCACAACAGCCAACAGGACGGCCATTGCGACAAAGAACCAAGTCAATCAAGACTTGCGAGGGACATGATTCATCACTTTGACCGGACAATGCCGGCGAGAATAGACCCAACGGATATGGTCATGATTGAGCGAATACCATCTTGCTTCAAGGTTTTGTCGACGAAAAGGCCTGGGTCAGAAGGATTCGACCAATTTGGTGTCTCGGCAACCTTCTGTATATCTGTCAAGGGCCGTGAGGCGCAGATCTGGGCAATGACACGAGGATCATTGATGCACAGTCCGCAGAAGGCAAAGTCTAGGAGAAACCAAGGTAGAAAGGTCCCTGCAAGATAGTTGATATTGCCTTCTTGCCAGAAGAACCTTTCGATTCCGAGCACCAGAATGGATCAGGGGTGGTGTCATCTTCCTTCGCTTGCTAATCTTGGTCGTCGCCGTTACCCAGTTCTTGGACCTCCATGCTGTCATCATCGTCCCCCGGGGCGATATCATGCCTCATTGCGGCCCCTGGAATCCGTCTGGTCCGTTTCTCTTCGTCGTGGTAGTGGGGCTTTCGCCTGCCGGTTGCTCGCAAAGCTCTGGCGCCATCATCATCGACATCCAATGTATATCGTGGCCACTCAAGCATGGTCAGCCGGCAGATGATTGCAGCTAATGCGGGGATTGCTCCAGCGCCAACCACGTATCTCCAAACGCGGTCAACTATCGGCACTGCGGTGATCTTGTCCGCGTCTCTTGCAAGGCTAGCGAAACCAGATTTCTTCCCCATGTTGAGCTAGTCCGGCAGCAGGCGAGGAGTTGCCCGAGTGGCTGCATCAACAAGACCGAGGCCATGATCGGTCATCATGCGCGCGCAGGATCTTCGCGTGGCGAATTCGGCCGTGTTCACCGTGGAAAGAGGATATTCAGCTCCAATTCAACGTCGCTGGAACGACTCAAATGAACGAGGAGCTCTCTTGCTTACCACGAAGAACCGCCAGAACATGGGCCATGACAAAATACTCATGGGACCATTGTGTCCCGCCAAACACCTGACGAGAGCGAATGTGCCGAAAATAGCTACCATCAGCCTCCAGACCATAGAGGTTCTTTTGTAACACATCGGTCGGATAGATGATTTGTGCCGCTACCTTGGCATCAAGTGGGCTGCCGTGGGACCAATATCTTGACCGACTGACATTGCTGCAGCAAAAAGTCTGGAGCTGTGATGCACGCACGGGACGGGGCATTGTTTCCGGGCAGCACATTCCATGTCAATCTTGCCACCACGGGCGAGTTCTTCCTGCGGCCGCAATATTGAATACATGTGTATTGATTTTGAGCAAGCCACAGCGGCTGAGCGGCCCTGGGGCACGGCCCGTCGCGCCTATATCTGTATATTGACGTCAATGATGGCGGAAGTCGCTGCTACACTCTCGTCCACGCCAGATTCAGGGCCATTGAGGACGCATAGGCCGAGTAGGCGACGAACATGGTTTGAGGTTGCGACTGCATCTCCTCTGTGCACTTGCTTTTACGCCGTAGTACGTTACCTGCACTTACGACGAAACAACAAGGCCTTGCCAACTTGGGAAGGCCTCTGTAAAGTCTCAGCGGTGAGGGATGTACCTGCAGATAGTCTTTGCAGCCAATCTGCTCCGTACCAAGTTACATTGAGTGGCGTTCAATATTGGCGCAGCAGGCCGCACCGCGTATGCTTTCCGTCTCACAACCGACACTCGGGGGGAAACTTCACGCCATGCTTGCAGCTGAGGTCAAGAATGGCTCGTATGATCAACGGCATCTTCCGGCAGTTGTGACAACAAAGGCCTATGCGATTACCAAACTATCGACGCCTCCCTATCGAGGCCTACACGGTCATCAAGTTTTGACCTCTTAGAACCTGCCTTGACCTTTTTCTCTTTCCAAGAACACAGACTTGATATTAGGCCTCAAAAACTATATAAGCTCCCCGTCGTCGACTTGAGTCAACTTCAAGTCCTCAAATTCTCGCATCTCAATCATCAACCTTCTCCAACAACAACCGGCACTACACTTCTTTTAGCACTTCCAGACTTTCTCACCAAACCGTCAATATGAAGTCCGTCGCTGCTGTCCTCACTCTGGCCGCTGTTGCTTCTGCTGCTCCTGCTGAGGTTGTGGCCCGCACAGGCGGCGCCTGCAGCGTCAACGGCAACAACAATGGAAATGTGGCATGCTGCAACTCGGGAATTCCTATTCTCGGCAGCCTCCTCTGTAACGTCCTGACTCTAGGACAAAGTTGCACTGTTGGTCAGACTGCTTACTGCTGCAATAACAGTGGCTCGGTGAGTCCAGTAGCTCCTTGGATACCTCAGAAAAGATTGAACCTAACCATTGTGTCCAGGGGGGCCTAATCAACGTGGACCTTCTTAATTGCGTTTCAATCTAAGCCAGCGTATGGCGGGATTAGAATGCGTCCGAACTGTCGGCGGAAGTCCTATCATGGTAGTGTGGATGGTACGGGGGATTGCTGGCATTGTCTTGGCTCTTCTGCTTTAGAGGGCTTCCACTCTTTTGTGTTATATAAAGCCAATTCCCGGACATGAACTGGTGCACCGGTCCATGTCATAGGGCATATGCAACTACTAAGGCGCAGAAATAAACGGGTTCCCACGCCGAGTACAGACTTTCTCCGTTACGTGATCTGACGCGTAGGCACTATGTTTATGACGTCATAGTAATATATGAGGCCTTCAAAAACTACAATAGTACGGTTCTATAAAATGAAAACCGGAACTGGGCCACGACTTGAATACCCATGGTTACGCAGATTCGCACAATCAGCAACCTGAGACGATCCGCTGGCTGTAACCGTCCGAGCCCTGGTTTCCTGACTTCTGTTGGGCTGGGCTTGAGAATTCGGGTCTGCACCACCTGGTGCTCTATGTTTTGGAAAGAAAATTCGACCAGGTCAAACTGAGCCACCTCGAGAAGCGCCAGCTTCGCGCAGTGCCGCCTTGGTGGACACCGCCGGTTGTCTGCATCACAAAAGCTGCTGTTGAATCGACCCGAAACAGAATCAGTATATGGGCACCTCTGATGCCTCGACAGTACACGCAGTGCAGCTTCGTGGGCTGATTCTCGCTCTGCATATTGTGCTCGACTGAGACACAAAACCGGAGCTAGCACATCCTCATCGGGCTGTGCGATCACTGGATGACGCGCTTTATAATATATGTACAAGTTTAGCCGCTCTTGTTAAAGTTTTGATAGAGACTCGTCAGTTTTAGAGCTTGCTGGTCCAGCAAAGCACACATTAAAAACTCGGCCTGCGCTATGAACGGTTCGAGTCCCTCATAGACACAATGGAACAGTGTATCAAATTCCAGAACAATTACATGGGGCTTATGGATAAACGCAGAAAAAGGTCCATCTCGGAGCTTTTAAAAAAATCCTATTCACGTGGGGGAGGATGGAATCAGACGCCTTGGAGCTTGAATCGACCAACACAGTGCAACATCGTGCTTGCGCCGATGAAGATGGTGGAGAATCGACATCGAGACGAGCTTTTGCGCATCCCACAGTCATCCCCGATATCGATTCCTGAAGGACACAAGACTTTTATGCAGGTGTCCCAGTCGCCGCCGTCACCGATCGAGAAACTCGGCAGTGCGGTGTTAAGGCCTGATCAACGTTTGCATGTCTGCCGATCAGTGTCCACAGAGGAATCATCCAATATCAAATCTCCAATCTTTGCTTCTCCCGTGCGACAAACTACAGAAGAGATGTCATCTTCAGTTGTGGCAAGCCCCGTTCTTGCAAGTGATCACAGAGGGATAACATCCACTCCTTCTTCACTTCCAGCAGAGTTTACTCTACCGGGTTTGACCTTGCCGCAACTTCCGTTACCATACATTGTGGCGGAAGTATTCTTTGGAACCAAAAAAGTTCAACTCAAATGATGGCCGGCAGTACGAGGTTATTAAAGTAGGCGCGAACGCATCATCAGGGATCAAAATATCAATTTCCTATCCCGGCACAGAATCAAGAAACTTTGCGATGAGGCCTGCTACCCATACACATGGCACAGCGGATGGAACGACGGCCACATTGATCTCGAGGTCGGTTTCGTAAGCACGGCACCGGATACGCTTTCCATGTCTTCCCAAGGAGTACCAGCTACTGTAGCCAATCCAAAATACGTCTTTACGGAGCTTGAGGATCCCAGGAATTCCCCAGAAAAGCTCGAGAAAGGGCGTTAAAAGACACATTCAGGGTCCTCTTGATCTTGTCCTCTGGGTCCACGAGAAATGGAGAGGCTACGGACCAGCACTTGAAGATTTGGCGAGACAACCTGTCATAGGACGGCTCCATTTCCATCTACGCTAGTGCTGCCCTAAAACTTCGCCATGTCAATTCTCTCCTGAATGCATCTGATTAAGCGCTATGGACAGACGGGAAGTTGGACCTGCGGTTGATGTCCTGGCGGGCGTTGTGCCAAAGAAAGCTCGCGCCCTGCCAAGAGCTTTCGGCTGTGCCTTCACAGGTTGAACCATATCTAATGCAACAGGTGAGCGTGGAAAAGGCCAGATACTAGATCACAAGCTGATTTCTGCAGGTTCTGTAGCTTTTACCCGGCACAACACAGGCATTACGCCAAGCGAGTCCTCGGCGAGAATCTCTCCCGTGTCGTCAGCAAACTTGCCGTCCGACAGCAGTCGGAGACAAGTCCATCCGGAAGTTTGAGCATGCCCGGAATCCCAAGCTGGGAGGGTGAAATAAAATATCTGGACATTGAGTTTTCGAATCAAGGGGGTATGTTCCATCTTGCCATCCGTTGTTGTACTCTCTGTGGATATTGAACGGCTCGTCGTATTACAGAAGCGTCACGATTCAAAAAGACTTTTAAGACGATGTACTTGGAAGATATTTCCCACCCGCTGGACTTCTCCCATGACTGGCTGATGGACAGTGGCCATCAGAGAGATGGAGACGTCGTTAGCGTGTCGCCCTCTGGACCGTTGTCTGACATATTGTCGGACTTGTGGCCCGCGAACTCTATATCTACTGAAGAACGAGGGTGAGAGAGCTATTTTGTGCGGTAAAAGTCTTGAAAACTGCTGAAAAAACTTGCCCAACAATTTGGTAGCAAGTGGAATGACATCGCCGTGAACTTGGTATTCTCACGAGACTCCTGCTAGCAGACGTGTGGGGACATTCCAGCCCTGTATTAATTTTGCGGACAGCTTTGAGACGTGTGTATATTTTGAACCTGATGAAATTATGAGTGATGGGGTTATAGCAGAGTGTGTATTGGCCAGTGTCACCATTGCAAGCCATCGCCAGTCCCGTTGGCAATAGCTTTTGAAGCTTTTGAAGCTCCATGCTAATGATTGGGCTTTTCCGGCGGAGCGTACGCGTGTAATATTGATGTAAGATGGATGTCGAGCTCGTGGAGGGCCGAAGGGCAAGATCATACGTTGCTTCATCGGGTACAGAGGACACGGCGGCCCTTGTTCTATCTAGGGAACAAAACCGGTAAGCATTGGACCAGACTCTATACATATGTCAGACCTGGGAATGTGGTAGCCGCGTTTGGCCACGAGAACCGTCGAATCGTTGTCAGCCGAAGAGCTGCATCTCGAGCGCCATGGAGTAAGTCGGTGTGTATGCTGTGATGTTGTGTGTATTCCTCAAAGTCGACTGTGCTTATCGTGGTGATGTATGGCAAGTAAAGCGATAGATCCAAACAAGTTTGATATTTTCCCTCGTGTCTGCTTGGGAAGAAGTCAAATTGGCCTGTGGAATTTGCCCCACAATAAACTTCAGGGCAAGGCTTTCAACATGGAGAACTGCGGGGAAAAGAAGGGAGAAAAATATGTTTAAAATATGTTTCATATTCTCGCACATAAAAACATGAAACGATGAGATGACGTGGGTGAAGGCTGAGTTAGAGTTGAGTTGGAATTGAGTTAGAGGTGAGGTGAATTGAGCCAATTTCCCAGGCAGAAACAGTTTAAAGAAAAAAGTGAAAAGCCCAGCCTCTGTTTGACTACGAGAGCTGCCTGGCTGCCTCCTGCAAACCACGTCCTGCACACCACGTGAGAGTCTCATGCCCTCTGTCAGCTCCAAACCTCAGCAGTGCGTACTGTCAAGCATACAAGAATCATACCTTGATCAAGCGTTACCAGATTTTTCAACACACATCATAGAGTTCTTTTCCTTCTTCTCGTCCATTCGGCCTGGAGCTTGATCGCTATGGAAACGGTGAATAGCATCGAGTACATGGTCCGGGACCTCAACACTCGTTCTGTCGTCCTGTTCCCAACGCGAGCACAGGTCGTCAGAGAGATGACAGCCGTCAACCTCAAGGTATGTCTACGGCCAGCAAAGTGTGATGAGGTTGAAAATCTCTAACGCTACGGCAAAACATAGCCTGCAACCAATAAAATTACCGTCATCGGACTAAGTCCAACGATTGAACAAGAGTCCATCAAAGTCGAAGGCGGTGGATCCTCCGTCATCATTACAGACGTTGCCGTGGAGTTGTTGCCGAACCGCGATATCTTTGAGGAGGTTTATCCCGACTCGAGTAGAGACCAAGCCGACTGCGATTGCAATGACCAGTCTGACGCTGTCTCTGACTCGGATTCGGGTCAAGAGCAGAGGCCTGAAAGGTCCTTCGCCCAGGCTAAACTTCAAAAAATTCAGGAGAAGCTCGAAATTGCTACTGAGAGAGTAGACAATGCCACCAGCCGTCTTAAAATTCTGGAATCGTATGCTTCCGCACTGCAAGAAGAGGGGAGAGTAGGGGATATTAATGATGAACTAGAAAAGTACAGAGTTTTGCGTGATGAGCTGTTCATGGAACGTGTTGAGAGGAAGAAGATTCAAAGGGGACTGAGAGAACAACTAGACAAATTACAACGGCAACAAGTCAAAGAAAAAGCGAAAGAACAAAAGGCCAAAGAAAAGGTTCGCCAAGAACATGAACAGAAAAAATCTCTCAAACGCAAGCTTGACGAAGAAAGGCACAAGGAGCAAGATCGTGTCCGCCAAGAGCGTGAGAACTTTTGGCCGCGGTATTGCTACTCTGTGTGCATCACAATTGAATGCGACTCCAACACTCCACTGCCTTCCAGAAGCATTGGAAAAGCGGGTGTCATGCGAGTGTCGTCGCCAACATCAACGGAGGCGGGTACAGTAGCTCCATGCTCTACGTGCGACTTGGTTTTGTCATATGTCACCAGCTCTGCGGGATGGGCACCGAGTTACGACTTGCAGCTGTCTACAAAAAGTTCCACTGCTATCCTACGTTTCGATGCGCAACTGATAAATACCACGTCTGAATCATGGTCTAACTGCAAGGTTGTCTTGTCCACATCACAGGCCACATTTGGTGGGCTAGACGACGTCGCCCCGAGCCTGAACCCGTGGAAGATCAAACTCGAACCGACAGTTTCAAGGGAGAAGGAGAACCAAATACTGACGAGCCGTGAGGAGTCGACACACTATACCGATTGGGTGGCATCCAAGAAAAGCAATGGTGTCAACAAGACTCGCGGGGAAATGTTTATAAATAGCGGTCTCTTCGTCGACGCACTCAGCGACTTTGAGCAGTCACTCATGGCAGAGGCTTGCTTTGACACCCTGTATAATCTCCCAGGCTTAAGGACTCTGGCGCCTAGATCTACTCCATCTAAGCATCGGGTAGATTGCCTCACTTTCGACAAAGTTATGTTTAGCCGCAAGGCCGTTCCCAAGTACAGGCCAGTAGTCTACCTCAAGGTCAAAATGAGAAATACGAGCAAAATTAGTTTACTCAGAGGTCTTGCTGGGCTTTCTCTTGACGGGAGTTTTATGGGCCGCAAGGTGTTGCCCCGTTGTAGCGCTGGTGCTTTGTTCAGCTTGAACCTGGGCGTCGATCCTGCCGTCAAGATATTCTATTGCAAGGCAGAGGTAGGAATATCAACAACTGAAATGTTTAGAAAAGAAATCTATGCACGGTCAATTACGATGCAAAACATTCGAGCTCCAGCGGACGGGCCTGTGTCCATCAAAGTCCGGGATCAGATCCCTGTGTCGGATGACCATTGCCTTAGAGTCAAGCTCTTGAGTCCTAAAGTAACAACGATTGACGGTCCAAAGGTTCTTGTTGGTTCACCGGGCCGGGATGCAATTTGGGATGAAGATTGGGGTGTAGCGACGGCGACGGCGACGCGCGACAAAACCGGTGAAATCAATTGGGACGTATCGCTGAATGCGGGCAAGGCTGTGCGCTTGATCATGGAATATTCTGTATCCTTCCCACATGGAGAAGGTGCTATTCAAAGCTGGGACTCTTAAACGAGTCCCAGGCGAACCACGAGCATGGCTCGAATGGGAAGCCTCGAGTCGCTGAGTGGGAGTGGATATATTTGGGCGGCGCGTCGAGCGAGAGAATATGTCTTGAATCATCGTAGATTGCTTAGCTGATTACCTACGTACGACAAATTGCTGTTGTTGGTAAAATCACTCATAGATCTTTTGCGGAATGAGAAGAATTGCAATTTCTTTACGCTGTAGTTTGGCTCGGTTGCTACTGCGAAGCTGCAATGACATCATCTTATGACTGTGAGTGTATTTTTGCCCGTCTCATGATTTACGAACGCCATTTCGAGCAGAGTGTTGCCAAACTTTCCTGTTTGACTCCATCGACAAGATATAATGAGCAGTTTCTAAGCATCCATGCATGTGCTTTGCCAATGGTTTGTCGGCCTACAAGCACCAAATGAAACAACTCTTTGGGTACAAGTTACTTCTGATGTCACTTGGAAACGTACAAAGCTAGTCAGCAAATTCAAATGAGCTCTGTAACGGGTATCAAGTTAAAAATAACCTTGATGGGTAGAGCCAGATAAAGTTAAATGATTCCATATCTTACACAAAGTGAAAGCAGCGGTAAGATGCAACGATCCAGTTGCAAGGCGCCTGGGATGCCCATGAAGAATACAAGACCAATTTGCTCATGTATTGAATTGGAAAAAAAGTGATTAGTCCAGGGCTAGAAAGAAAGTCTTCTATTTATACTAGCAGCTGCAGAACTGACAAAATGTATATGTCGCCCACACTGCGCATGACTGAAGCCTCACGCATTTAAGGAGCAAGTAAATAAGTACGCATATATTCTTGTTGCCTTGCTTTGCAAAGACCGCATCAGTCCGGATGGCCGCAGTCGTATGCCGTATTTGCCGGACGTTAACATCTCACAACTTAGGAGCAATCTCCGCTGGACCTCTCGCTCCTTGAACTCATTCAACATAAGTGCAAAGTCACTCCCTTCGGAGTCCGCCGTCTTTTCAATAACAAGAAGTTGTTCCTTGAACCACTCAATCTCATTTCCCGCCTCAGGTATAGTGAGGCCAAGTTCGCGAGCCGTCAACAAAGAACTGCAACGAGCCTCTTCTCCCCAGCCCCACAGGGGATCAACTCTTCGCTGCTAGCCGGACTAATTTCAAACGCATGATACCACGCCTCCTCGATGCGCTGTGCGAGCTGGTCGAATCTGCCTCGGTGCGGGCTGGGGAGCTGCGGACGTGCGCAATAATACTGTTTGAATTGGTGTATCGTCGCGTGCCGGCAATGAAGTAGCTGCCATCGCTCGGGTCTTCGTGAATAAAGCGTACGTGGACAAATATTGAAGGAGTGGCAAACGTCGTAGCATGAAGTCGTGTTATCGCTCCGGCGAGCTCTTCACGCTGCGACTCTGTCAATGCGTGAGAGTGGTGGACTTCGTAGAGCGACATTTTATTGTCCGATGTCTAGTATTCGAGTTCTTTAGTGGTTCTATGTGGCATGAAGAGGGCGATGTATTTTGCACAGAGCAACCTGCGTCTTTTATACTGGGCGATTCCGGTAGATCAACTGCCGGTATGCGGCAACTCGCCTTGTCTAGCAACATGTCGAGCAAGGTGCCGGCGGGGGGCGTAAGTTCACGTATCGCGGTCCGGGTTAAGATGAACCATCTAGTGATCACATCAACGTTCCGACCAGTTGACGTCTACGAGTCCATTTCGGACTGAGATTTCGCCATAGCGGTGATCAGCAAGAGTGGGACAACATCCGCGTCCGTTCTGCCAAGCCTCCTCGGCACTGGCCGTTGACACTATTGAGGAGAAGAAAAATCCATTGATGGGTAGCTCTTGCGACGTTTTCCCGGAAGTCGGTGTAGCTATAAAGGCCGAAAGGAAGACAAAGGCCGGGTATTAAACTGCGCCCCCGCGCATGGCCGACGGGGCCAGCATTTCCGACCTGTTGGAATAACTGAGTACTGGCCAGCCAGGCAGGACAGGGCCGCAAGTGTGCTTCGGCTTTGAGAGTTGTTCAGGCTTATTGATGGAATAGGACAGGATATCAGGGAATGGTATTAGGTGTAGGTGCAGCTTCATTCAAGAACAAGGCTACCCCAACCCTAGCCTTCATAAGGTGCTGTCCTTCGCGAGCCGGCAATAGAATAACGCAAGTGGACTTGGAGATACGGGCCCTCAGTCAATCTTTACAATAGATAGGAGTCGGTACTGTCCTATCTTCAGATTTAGAAGGAAGAGGATGCCCTCAAAAGTGCAAAGCCTACTAACATACCTAATAATTGTGTTGCTTAGAATCGTGAAGAAAACTTCCAAATCAAGCTAATCGTGCCCGATGAAGACTTGCTCGTCTCGAGGTTAGAACTCTGGTAGGGGTATAACGCCACCCGAGCGGCTTCCCCATTGTTTCCACCAGAGCCAAGTTCGGCACAATTACCGCCTCTCGTGTACCCCCTTCGATGTCGGTATGCCGTCTTTGCCGTGTCTATGCACGTATGAGCATAGGTCTCCGCTTCCCCGTATCTCTAGGTGACACAGGGGTCGGCGACAAGTGGCAGACTGGCACCCAAATGCCAACATAGTTTGTCCGCCGCGCAATGCAAAGGTTCCTCCACAATGGCCAGACTGGCCTTATCTAGCATGGAGAAACCGGGACAAGCGGCACTCACAAGGTCTGATCGGGTTTCGGCAGCTCACACAACGGCATGTAGGAACTATCGACAGGCCATGTTTGTGTTGACAAGCATTTTGCGAGCGCAACGCCATCCTCAAATCAGACGATTCTGCTTACCGCGACACAAACCACAGTATGCCCACCTGCAAATCCCACCTGCAAATGCGTTATCCTGCAAAGAATGTATGACAAAGGACACTAGGTCTACCTGCTCTTTGAGAATTGGCAAGGCCTGGTTCCCCGGCCTTCTGGAGGCACAGAATGCTACACGACAGCACTCTTCCAATTTCTCCCCGCACAGTTCTCTTAGTTCCCGCCATATCTCAACTCCATCTATTTCGTATGTGGTCGCCTCGCAGGCATATTTCAATTTCAGGTACCGCGTCAGGGCTGAACTGTGTCTCCCCATCCCTTGACACCATGCAGGGGGTTTCTAGTCCGGGAAGCGAATCGAAACTAAGTAACTCAGACTTCGCTTTTTTTCTTTGAGAGATGCCATCCCCACGAACAACCAGTCTTTGATAGAAAGGGAAGTTTGAACACAACTAATGCTGATGAGGATATTTCCGGCAAGGGTAGAAATATGAGCGCTGCAGCCTCCAGAGTTGTGTCGATAGACATGTGTAATCATATGGATCCATTTCGTCAAACATACATAGAAGTTCATTGGCAACAATGTTATGTTTGTCGAGGCTCTCAAAAGTTGAATTTTCGAGAACCTGTGAGAGAGCGAGTCCAATATCAGGATGAAGTCGTCGCTGGGTAATCCCTTTAATGAGCAGAGAGCATCACCTCGCATGGCTCCCCAGGTGAGGATACTGCCTCCAAGGCCATATTCCTAACTTCTCCTCCTCAATTCCTCTAGCCTCGCATTCATTTGGCAGGCAAGGAGGTAGCCTATCTTGCTTCTCGAATGAGGATGTGACCAGACCAATGAGACACAGAGTCAGTTTGTGACAAGGGCTTGATATCATCAAGGGCTTGCAGTGGAATGACTCTATTCAATAATGGTCTTGTAGGATGTCAAAGGTCCTTGGTTTTCCAAGAGGAAGGAAGGGACCAGTGACTACTATATGTACATGAAAAGAACAGCTGTGCCTAAGGCTCCCAGCGGATCATGTGTTCAGTCTGTGTAACCTCTAGGTCCTGTATCGGCGATGCCCCTTTGGTGGGCGGTGAGGTTGTTAAGCTTTAACCGTGTGACACAGTTCGTCCTTGATCTCCTCCCCTTCCAAGCTGTGGGCCGCCCAGTAGTGGACAAGGGGGGGTGAATGTAGATCAGGCCTGAATTCGAGCTGCTCCGGATGAAAGAGAATTTTTTTTCGGCAACTTCTTGGCGTCATTGTATCCTCTGCGACTCAACAAGACCTCCTTCAACTGCTGCGGAACCCACTGGTCCTCTTCCGGCGCTGGCTCGAACTCACCACGCCGAGAGAGTAGATTGTCCTCGAAAGCAGCTCTCTAGGATGGAAAGTGTTATGTCCTTGGCGTCCAGAAGGGCAAGCATTTGTGGTAGCAGTGCCGCTCCACGCAACGCTTCTTGATGCTCTCAAAAGCTATGGTCCAGGTTGTCATGACGGTTTCTGTTTTCTTGAAATTGTATTGTGTCGTTTGCTCCGAGGCCGGTAGCTCTTGGGCTGAGTCCCTCCTCTGCTGTTAGCATGTAAAGTGTATCCTCCAACGTCTGGTTCTGTAGCTCGAATTGCTTCGTCGACCGGGGACTGCAGCCACATTAGCCGAAGGGCGCGGAGCTCGTCTCATTTTCGAAGATGCAATTGTGCGTATGTGCTAAGATTTAGCTTGCTCTCTCGGACAACGTGAAGCCTTGAAGACCCCGATTGACGTTGAAGCGGAAGTAGTCGTCGCTGCCCTGGTACCCCGTAGCCATCTCGCGGGAGACTTTACTAGAATTGCTAGCCATTTCCACCAGCGCACTCAGAATCGAACGTCTTGTGTTCTTTATATCCACAATGTGGCCAATTGCAATGCCAATGCTGACCACAAGGAACTGTTGAGCATCCGGAAACACATGTTTCTCCTCGCTTACGAGAACATCGAGGATATGACACGGGTTGTTGTACCAAAAGCCGGCGTCGATGAACTCGATTTTGTCCAGCCCGCTCTTGATGGACTTGAAGAATGTCGTGGCTGCTGAGATGGCTCGGGCAACCTCCCATATCGTGCAATCTTTGAAGCTCGTGGATTTGTCATATGCCCTTAACAGAGTTGCAGGCGCATCAACATTGCCCTTTGCAATGGCCAGAACCGCCTTGCTCTTGTCAGACACGAGTACATGGCTAACAGATAGTTCAATTTACGCCCTAGGACACAATTCGTCCCGTAATACTTTGCCTTGATGGGTACAAGGTACCGGGTCGGAACTTTGCTGTGGCTCTATGAGAGTCACAACTTGATGGCGTCATCAAGGGTGGTGGCGGAAAACATTCTACTGGGCGAGGGTACGATGGATATCCGTCCGGTGCTTCGACCTGAATGCCCTCTGCGTAACGGTTCTATAGGCCATGATAGCATCTCTGACGCTCATGTCTAGGCGCCCTAGCATGGTGGCGTGATACTAGAACCCCGTTTTGACTCTTTGAGCATGATAGTCATATTAGTTCGTTCGGAATTAGATACCCATCTTCATCTGAATTAGCTTGAAACGAGAAGACTTCCGCGATGGCCTCTGATGACAAGGAAAAGTCACTCTGATGTTGAAGTGGCAACGTTTACAGCGAATCTGGAAGCCTGCAATCCGACCATCCCATTTTCCAGCGCTGGGGGCCTGGCAGGTGGAGGAAATGACCAGACTCCTTCCATAATTGAGTCGGCCCCAGATTCCGCCAATGCTGTGCTATGCGTATAGATTGGGGCACCGCAGCACCTTTATGGCTCTAATGCAGTGTCACAGCCGTGTCAACCAGCTTCAGAGAAAGGTGTAAACGTGAGGGGGACACGAACTACCTCGGATAAAACTGGCTGTGCGAAGCATCGTCATTAACGTCTGGTGGTGTAATGCAATTGAGTTGTGAAAGTGAACTAGGCATGGTCGCACCTATTGGACGGATAAACGTCTTGGTAGCAGAGACTAGGAATTGGTAGTTGACAGACTATGAGATCGAATTGCAAAGACCAGAAGTGATTCCTGGGTTATTATTTATAGTTCCATCCTCAGTCAAGTACCCTCATGCCGCTGTCTGAAGCAATATTGATACAGCAGTCTTCTGGCCCAATCTAAGCCAACCACTCTGGACTTCAAGTGGCCCTGCAGTCGATCAATTTTTGGCATCCCAAGGTGCTCCAAAACGACCGTCCTCCATTTTTAAAAGGCTTTCTGGCTTTCCGGATTCAACTACCACTCCTTTATCTAGCAGAAGTGCCCAGTCTTAGTCCCGGACAGTGTTCAGTCGATGTAACATACCGAGAGGATTGTGTGATCCACAAACTCCTCCTCTAGAATTCTCATCATAAGTGCCTCTGTCTGCTGATCCACGGCGCTCGTTGCCTCATCCATTACGAGCATCGAACTCAGGGCTTTATGAGCCAGCGCCCGGGCAAGATGTAGAAGCTGCTTTTGACCCTGTGAAAGGCTCAGATCAGATATGTCGATGTCCAGCCCCTTGTTGGCGCTAATCGAACCCCAGAGCTGCACTTTCTCCGAGCGTGAGGATGTGGCTATCTGACTCTTCCATCTGGTTTTTTTGTGGCCAGAAATTGCTGCGTATGGTTCCAGGAAAGAGCATTGGTTCCTGTGGAATTGCAATTAGACGGGGTCGTAGGATATTCTGTGGAATATTGGATGTGTCTAGGCGATTATGTTGATTTATAATATATATTAATTATACATACGCAGTTAATTACTTAACTGATCGGACTATTTCATCACTCGTGATGGAACCCGAGTCCAGATCGAGCAAGCGGAATAATGTCATCAAAAGGGTTGGTTTGCCGCTACCTGTTCGACCACATATTGCCACCTTTTGGCCCAATTTAATGAAAGTCATAATATTATTCAATGCTGGATGACTTGATTTATTTCCTGGATAAGTTGCTGTTACTGCCGTAAAGTTGATTGCACCTTTAGGTGGTCACCCCTGGGGAATTGTTCTAAACCATAAAGCGTCACTTACTAAAACATACACCGTGAATATATGCATCACTATCGAGGAGCTAGCGGATTGATGATTCATCGCGGCGCGCCGACGAAGGTTATCCCGCGATAGCCTCAGCAACTACATATAAGTACACTTTACAGATCAGAGATATAATTTTTGTCAGTGACTGATTCCAGAGACTCAAAATAGCCCCATATAATATGTATATAAACGAGTTTTACGCTCCTTGGTATTTTGGTATTTCTTTCCCCTTCCTGTCTTATTATCACCTCTCTTCTTCTAATAGTAAAAGGCTTCTTATGACTATAATCTGACGTCCGCGAACCTACTACTCGTAAGATCTCGCTTCTGCTAAGCTCCCGGAGAAGTTACTTACATCGGCTAAAGCGATCAAATCTGACCGCCGCAAGTAAGCCGTTAAGTATACCTAGAAGGGCGATCCTTCCTAGAATGCTAATATTGTACCGGACTCTCTATTATTCCTTGAATGGCGCCCTGAATTACTCAATCTAAGGCTTAAGCAGAATATTGAAGCTTCATATTTGAAATTACCAGACCACAATGGCCGGCCGCGTAACAACCCTGGCTACTTGCCCCCCCGCTGTCGCTGTTGTAGGCACCCCCTTCGCTACAACCAGACTGTTGCTACCATGTCCGTTGCAGCTGTCGGGTCATTAGAAGGTCTCTCCGTTGGGCGACTGTTGTGGCAATAGGCGAAGGCGCCATTGTTGGGATGGGAGTCATTACCAGTGGCGGCAGTAGTAACGCTGGCATCGCCCTTGCCACCATGGCCGGGCCTGTCGGCTGCGCTATTGTGGGATGCAACAAGAACGACGATCACAATAGCAATAGCCGCTACACCTGGGACTGTTGGAAGCCCGTCGTACGGGATACGTCTACACAGCCGTCTTGTGGCATAACTCTTCGCGACCTGGCTGTGCATCCAAACGTCCAGTCTGTATCGCTCGACCGAGGTGGGCTCATAGTGAGAAATATTCTTGGCGAGAGATTCTCCCTCACCCCCGTCACTATTAAAGGGGCACTGGCTTTTCATACGTCGATTCTCTCATCGTGAAAGTGATTAGGTTATGCTTGGTTTAGGGACTTGAATAATATGAAATTGCTATGGTACTCTTGGCCAATAATAGCTGCTATACATATATCAGCTATTTTAATTATTAAACCGACATATTTATTACTATTACAGATGCCCAAAGTACTAGGTACTTGACCAGGAGAGGGTTAGGGTAACGCGGATAGAATTAGAAAGCTAAGGTTATAATTAGTACGACCTGGAAGGGACTTTCCGTGCGCTCTGTGTGCCTGCATTGTTGCTAGCTAACAATAGTTAAAGGGCTGTATAAAAAGGGGTCAAATCCGGCCCGCTAGCTGCGGGCAACTTCCACATACAGCCAGAATGCCCAATTTCGGGACATAATAAAGTTAGCCAACACTGGAAGAAGACACTGTCCAACGAGCGAGACGAAGTGGCTACAGCGCGATGAATAGCTCGTCGCCTAGCTCTCAAATTTTGTATAGTTATAAACAGAATTAATGTGCTTGACTGCCAGATGAGTGGAATCTGTGATGCTCTCCAACGGTACGTGAATCGTGATTTTCCTCTAGAGACTAAGCTAACGGCAGCTAGACGGCGTGAAATCGAGGAGCGAGCGGAATATCTGTCAGCTAGCAGGTCTGTGGCCAATATGCTACGAGACTATTTCCATGTCATAGATCAAGACGACTCAAAAAGACTACCGAAGATCACTAGCCGTTCCCTCCTAAGTTATACCATTCCGAAAGCCAGTAGCGACACATCTCCTGCATATACAGGAGCATTGGATGACAGTCACACATATAAGTTTGTCGAGATACGACAATAGGACTGGTCGATGTTTGCTGGCTTTACTCTGTACAGTATTTCAATGTCTTTGGCGCTCAGTGAGATTAGGTCCACCGAGATTTATGCAGGTATGTTAAAATAGGTCACTTATTACGGGTACTAATTACGTACGTATAATTAGATAAGGGTAAACCCTTAACTATAAGTAAATAACCCTAATAATAAGCGCACTTATAAAAAGAGTATATATAATTCTCTCTTTTATAATTAAATATAAACTTATATATATATATTATTATTATAATTAATACTCTTTAAAGTATAATAATTATAAGCTTAAGAGAACTTTAAATTTCTTATAACTTTTACTTAAGAAAATTAAGTATTTAAGGTATTATTTTAATACTTATTTTATTATATTTACGTATTTAATAAATATTAATATTACTTTTATAAACACTTAATTATTTATTAAGCTTAAGTTAAAGCTTTTAAGTTAATAGTATAATTAATATAAAGTATTAAAGGGTTAAGCTTAAGCTAATAAGCTTTAAAATATTATAAACCTTAATTAATTAAATTACTTAACTAATACGTTACTTACTTCTCTTTAGCTTACTTTAATAAAAGCTTATATAAGCTTATTATTAGATTAATAA